AGTGGGTGTCAATATTTGTCAAATATTTCTGGTCCTGATTGGTTTGGCTCAGTGGATAGAGCATCAAGCCTGCAGACTGAAGTGTTCCAGGTTTGATTCCGGTCAAGGGCATGTGCCTTGGTTACGGGCACATCCCCAGTAGGGAGTGTGCAGGAGGCAGCTGAATTGATATTTCTCCCATTGATGTTCCTGCCTTTCTATCCCTCTCCCTTCCTCTCTATAAAAAAACAATAAAATATATAAATATATATATTTCTTCTAATAGAGACACTGTTATAGGTAACTTATTTACCCTACAATTAGCAATTAATTGCCTCCTACTGCAAGTTATATGTTTTTTACTATGAAAAATAAAGTGGTTAGTTAAGAATGTGGACTCTGAAGACAGTTACTTAGACCAGTACTTTTAATTCTCAGTACCTCTTAACCTGTATAAGGGGAGTCATAATAATACCTATAATATTCTATTTAATAAGAGGGTAATATGTAAATTGACCATAACAACGGAACAGCCAGAATGACCACTCAACCAGTCACTTTGAGGCACACTGACCACCTCTTGATTTCTTTTCCCAGCTGGCAGGCTCCAACTGCCCCGTTATGAACAGAGAACCTGGGAGGTGGGAGGGATGCAGGTGGCACCAAGCCAAGGCCTCAGCCCCCCGAGCTGCCACACACACACAGGGCAACTGCAGCAGGGGCCAGGCCAGCAAGCAGTGGGGAATGGACGACCTCTCAGTTGCTTTCCCAGGCCATCAGGTTCCAATTGCCCGATGGCAAATGGGGAACTGGGGGTGGTTGGTGGCGGTGGGCAGGGCCAGCTGCAGGCAGCCAGGGAAGATGGCCCTGATGGCAGCCCAGGCCTAGGGACTGTACCTGCACATGAATTGCATGCACCCAGCCTCTAGTGGTACTATAAAAAGAATTAAACTATGCATTACGTAATACCTGGGATATGAACTCTATAAATGTTAACTATTATACAATAGTTTCCATCATTACTATTATTGATGTTATTTCTGTCCTTCATGGTTCTTAAACCAAGGGTGAAGTTTACTCTAGGATTAGAGTGCCCCGAAAAATATAAGATAAAAGAAGCTGTGAACATTATGGAAGAGGGATCCCAGGATGTGACCAAACAGCCAGAAAATTTGTTCTAATCTAATTGAAGGATAGTCTTGCTATGGAAGGTTGAGAATAGTTAAAAGCAATCTTAAAATGTAATCACATGATAATTTCTGTCAGATTAAGCCCTTTATTACAGCCAAAGAAGTTGGATTTAAGAATACAACAAACCTCAGTAGTAAAAACCACAGAACAATCCAATATAAAAATGGGCTGATGATCTGAAAAGACATTTGTCCAAGGAAGACATACAAATGGCCAACAGGTAATGTTAAAAGGTGCTCCACATGGAGGAGATTAAAGATCAACTGAAGGACTTGTATACATGCATATAAATACAACCAATGGACACAAAACTCTGGGGAGGGAGGGCATGTATGGGACAGGGGGGTGGGGAGGGAGGGGGTGCAATGGTAAGATATGTACACATAATAATTTTTTTAAAAATTGAAGGAAAAAAAAAAGGTGCTAATGCTTAACTAATGCTAATGCATTTCCATAAGCACATAACTAATGCTCATGGAAATGCAAATCAAAACCACAGTGGAATATCACCTCACACCTCTGTGTGTATATATTATCTATACCAATAATCTGTACTAATAAAATCCTATCTAATAAAAATATGCAAATTATTCTAAAACACAAGTTGGCTGCCCCCATGTGTATATAAGATGGCCAGCAGGGGAGGACAGTTATGAGCAAACAGGCCACCAGGGAAGGGCAGTTGGGAAGGACCAGGCCTGCTAGGGAGGGCATTTGTGGGCAATCAAGTCTGCAGGGCCAGGCAGTTAGGGGTAACCAGGCCGCAGAGGAGGGAAGTTGGGGGTGACCGGGCCTGCAGGGAAGGGCAGTTGGAGACCCAGGCCTGCAGGGGAGGGCAGTTAAGAGCAAACAGGCTGGCAGGGGAGAAGTTAGGCATCCATCAGGCTGGCAGGGGAGTGGTTAGGGGGTGATCACGCTAGTAGGCAGAAGCAGTTAGGGGCAATCAGGAAGGCAGGCAGGCGAACAGTTGGGAGCCAACAGTCCTGGATTGTGAGAGGGCAGTTGGACATCCCTGGAGAGGTCCCAGATTGGAGAGGGTGCAGTCTGGGCTGAGGGCAACACCCCTTCCCTGCCGTGCATGAATTTAATGCACCAGGCCTCTGGTCTATACTAATAATATGCTAGTTAGACCGGATCAACCAAACATCTTCCAGTTGTGCTTCCAGACAAAGCCACGGTGGCAGGGGCCGAGGCAGAGGTGGTTAGAGGTGATCTGGCTAGCAGGGGAGCAGTTAGGAGTGATCAGGCAGGCAGAGTGGTTAGGGGTGGGCAGGCAGGCAGGCAGGTGAGTGGTTAGGATTGTAAGAGGGTGCAGGCCAGGCTGAGGGACCCTGTCCCGCCCTCCCCACCCCTAGTGCACAAATTTTGTGCACCAGGCCTCTAGTCCAGCTATAGCAAAGGAGTTCCTGCCTTTTGTGATGACATGGATAGACTCTGAGGGCATTATGCTAATAGGTATGTCCCAAATTTCATGTGCAATCTGAAGAAGTGAACTATTACAGAGAGTGGTTTGATAGTTTACAGAGTGTTGGTATGGAGGAAACATGAAAATGTTGGTTAAAGAATACAACTTCCGCCGAGGCCGGTTTGGCTCTGTGGTAGAGCCTCGGTCTGGGGACTGAAAGGTCCCCGGATTGATTCCGGCCAAGGGCATGTACATTTTGGGGGCACATCCCTGGTAGGGGGTGTGCAAGAGGCAGCTGGTGGTGTTTCTCTCTCATCGACGTTTCTAGCTCTCTATCTCTCTCCCTTCTTCTCTGTAAAAAAATCAAGAAATATATTTAAAAAAAAATACAACTTCCTATTACAAAATGAGTAAGTTCTGGGGATCTGAGGTACACATGGTGAACATAGCTAATAATACTATATTATATACTTACATGTCACTAAGAGAGTAGGTCTTAAATGGTTTCAGCACCAAAGGGAAATGGTAATTATGTGATGTGATAGAGGTATTAATTAATGCTATGGTAGTATAATTTTACAATATATAAGTATATCAAATTAACATGTTGTACACGATAAACTTACACAATGCTATATGTCATTATCTACCAGCATTTCCCAAAGTGTGGTACGCGTACCCCCAGGGGTACGGGAAGAGTTTGGTGGGGGTACACGTTGCACCAGAGTTTGGTGGGGATATGCACTGCACCGTGCTTAGCTGCGCCTAATTCTACGTTCTCATGAGTACGAGGGGTACTCAGCGTTACGAAAATTATAGAAGGGGTACACATATGTCAAAAGTTTGGGAAACACTGATCTATACTAATAAAAGGGTAATATGCTAATTAGGCCGGATATCTTCCAGACAAAGCCATGGTGGCAGGACCAAGGCAAAGGCGGTTAGGGGTGATCGGGCCAGCAGGGGAGAGCAGTTAGGGGTGATCAGGCCAGCAGGGGAGAGCAGTTAGGATCAGCCTGACAGGGGAGAGCAGTTAGGGGCATCAAGCAGGCAGGCAGAGTCGTTAGTGGTTAGGCAAGCAGACAGGTGAGTGGATAGGAGCCAGCAGTCCCAGATTGCGATATGGTGCAGGCCAGATTGAGGGAACCCCTCTCCCCATGCACAAATTTCATGCACTGGGCCCCTAGTATCTCAATAAAGCTGGAAACGAACAAAAGACAGAGGAAAAATACATCCATCTACAAGCCAAGGAGAGAGGCCTCAGAAGAAAGCAACCCTGCCAACATCTTTATCTTGGACATCTAACCTCTAGAACTATGAGAAATAAATTTCTGTTGTTCAAGCCAAATCAAAAAGCGTACTACATACTTAGTATAAAGTGCAGATTATAGTCTTTACTCAGTTTTGAAAATGTTTATAGCTTAGAGTAGAAAACATTTGGAAAAGTATTTCAAAATATCTTTACTTTTTTTGGTAATACTGATTATCCACATACATATTTCTGTACTAGTTCCTTTTATCAGCATTCAACATATATATAGAAACCATATACTCAAGTAAACTCAGTAAACTCTATTAGGTTAAAGCCATTTGTTTCAAATATTACCCTCACTATACTGGGACTATCATGGTTCATCCAAATGCAAGATTCTGCAGATTTGAATAGCTGTGCAGACAGAGACTGAAAACTGTTGTGTCTACCTTGTCACTAATAAGTGATGGGAAAAGTAAATAAAGTATTAGTTTTCCTCCAAAATTTAAGGGAGCTGAAAATGCCAATCCTATATAATTAAAGGGTAATATGCAAATTGACCCTAATGGTGAAATGACCAGTTGCTCTGACTTGCACTGACCAGTGGGCAGATGCTCAATGCAGGAGCTGCCCCCTGGTGGTCAGTGTGTTCCCATAGGGAAGTTTCACTAGGTCATAAGCCAGGCTTACTGCTGTAAGTGCAGTGGCGGTGGCGGGAGCCTCTCCCACCTCCCTCAGCAGCACTAAGAATATCTGACCGATGCCTTAGGCCTGCTCCCCTAAGCCATTAGTTGGACATCCCCTGAGGGCTCCCAGACTGCAAGAGGGTGCAGGCCAGGCTGAGGGACACCCCCCCTCCCCAAGTGCACAAATTTTCGTGCATCAGGCCTCTAGTAATTATAATAAACAGTTTGCTTTAGTATTTGTATACAATAACATATTCACAGTAACACATACCTGGCTTATGTCTCCAAAGCAAATTATTTATTAGCTCTTGGAAGAAAAAGTAGTTAACTACTAAAGGTAATAAAATTCATCTTAGTGTCTTAATCCTCTTTATTACTTAAATATTACCATTATCCATATTCATCTACTTAAGAGTTATTTAGTGAGATAAGACAGAAGGTGCTTTAAAAATAAATTAAAGAAGGTATGGTATGATGGGAGGCATAGTAATTTAAGAGTCATTTATTTCATAAGGGAACTTTCTATAGTAATAGAAAAAATTTTAAATAAATAAAAGTAGGTATCTATAATTTGGTCAAGATACCTACTATTTAGGTAAACCATTGCTATAATTTCATTCTGTTATACGGGATTCTTCCAGAACTTAACTGTGGTTTCACTGCATAGATATTCTCTTACTATTTTAAGTAATACCTCTGCATTTTGGGGAACAAAACATCTTAATATTCACAGTTACTCATAGAATTCCATGTTATTCAATATATTCTCTTGCTTTTCAAGAGTCACTTTTGGAAACTGACTCATAGCAACTGTCTGGCAGAGCCTTAGTAACGGAAGTCCACACAGCAAGTACTGTGCATCCCAGTGTTAGCTACGTTACTCTTGAATCGTTCCATTCCTTATAGAAAAAGCAATGAGTCTTTTGTAAACCACTCCCAGGAGTGTGATGCTGAGCAGAACTATTCCACACACAAGGCCGAATGCCCACCGTGGGCCCCAGGAAGTGTACACTTGGCTGATGTACACAGGTCCAAGAATCCGTGCTGCACTTCCAGAAGCTGTTAACCAGCCCATGTACACACCCTGTGAGGTGGGGATGGGGAGAAGCAGATTGAAATTCAGGTTTAGTTATTTTTAAAAAAGAATGATGCTGCTATCACAAAACAGTGGGAAACTTACAAGAATCACTTTCTCCATCTTTGATTAATGAATTACATATAAAATGTGTTTTTATAAATACAGCAAATAATGAACAGTAAACTTACTTGATAGAGTCAGCTTAGGAAAAATAAAAGTAGTATTAAAGAACAAATATCTGCTGAGGCCCTGGGAACAATAGAATTTACTAATTTACCTTTTAAGACTTTTATTTTGTACTTGTTATCTCCCACACACTGTGTTAGGTGCTTATATTTTCCAATGTTCACAAATGCTTATTACTGGTGTCCCTACATATGTGGAAGTTGAAGCTCAGAAAATTCAAGTAACTCTAACAAGAGCTTTGAAGTCAGGTGTGCCTAACTCCACTGTACCACCTTCCACTGCACCACGTCACTCCTTCAATTACTGTGCAGGGCAGCATTACCTTTAATAGTCTCACACTGAAAACCTAACTGTCCACGTATTTCACTCATATGTGCGACATATGATCAACATAATCTGATGAATAAAAATAGATCCAAAGACAAATGGCAGGGGAGGTGGGAAGGTTAGAGAGCAACCAAAGGACTTCTATGCATGCATATTAGCATAACTGATAGACACAGACACTGGATCAGTGGGGACTTGCCATTCCCACAGCCTGATCGATGCTTCTCTGTGTCTGGATCTGTTTTTGTTTGTCAGTTTATGTTGTTTATATTCCACAAATGAGTGAGATTATGTGATATTTATCTTTCTCTGACTGTACACTTTTAAGGCAACTATGTTTTCATCTTTTAGTAATTGGACCTAAGACTAAATGCAATTAAGCCTGGAGTCAAATTTGCCTATCAATTTTGGTTTCCCAACTGTTGCCTAGTTTAAGAATGAGTTTCAGAACTTTATGCTCCAGATAATTTTTTTTCTATGAAAATTATTTGAGCTTATAATCTTTGAGTTCAAGAGAGCTTTGCATTTTTAGAGTGCTTTTTGTTCAGTTTCAACACACAAGTCCTGTAAGTACTTTTTAAAAATTGTGCTTTTATAAATTCAAAATGCTGAATATGATTTTAAAAAATCCCCTGTATCAGCTTGTGTGAAAATAGAGAATGGTAGCACAGAATGTTAGTGAAGCATATTTCACATAACTGCTATGCCAGGGTAACTAACTCACCTGAGGTTTTGGTCCCAAAATTTTTGAATAAATTGTATATGCCATAACATTGCTGCATGGATAGCCTATTCCAATTAACACAACTGATGTGATGAACTGAGATAGATGGATCATGGGGGTATAAAGGCACCAGGCTTGTATAATTGGGCAACCAGTTGGTCCTTCTCTCAGATCTCTTGGAGACTGCCAAAGAGTAATAATAATTTCTCCAAATGTGGTATTAGGAATTGTATGATTATGTAAATCTGTAAAAACAAAATTAGTACAGTGCATGACTTATTACTAGATTAATAACAGAGACAATGTAACATTATAGAATTATGTATGGCTATACCTTGCCACTGTATCTTGGGAAACTGATTTCCCCAAGGTAACAAGATAAAGAAGCCAATCCATGTGATGACAAATCCTCCCAGCAGAACAGGACGCTCACCAATCCTGTTAGAGATCAGAAACATTATTACTTTTATCATTTTAAAAACTATAAATAAAGTATTTTCATGCTTTTAGTGATATATCAATTAATATGAATGCTAAATATAATTTCCCAGTAAGAAAAACCAGGACTCTTCTAAAAACTGGCTTATTTCAGGTTTGAGACAGACAATGTATAAACTGAGCCTGGACATCATCTAGTCATTCCAGAGTGCAGAAAAGCTACCAGTGACTACTAGGAATGATAAAAGGACTCGGAGCCAATTGGAAGAAGCTGGCCCAATACATGACAATGTGAACACCAAAATGAATAGTAATGATAATGAACTGAAACACATAAAAATGTTATAATCTATGAATTCATATTATATTAAAACTAGAGCTCTAATGCACGAAATTCATGCAAGGGGCTTGGCCCTTGCAGCCCAGGCTGCCTTGTGGCCCCGCGGCCTGCCCACTGGTCATTCTGGAAGGTCGTTCCACTATCTGGTCTAATTACCATATTAGCTCTTTATCATATAGGATACTCTTGGTCACTTTTAGGGGATATTATCAAACCAATTTTTATTTTAAAAGTCAGTTAATAAAATAAAAGCAAAGAATCACCCTGTCTTTCCTATACACACTATACCTCAGAATACCCAAATAGTTGGCGACAGGAAGTTTCTCTCGAAAATATTCCAGCAAATAAATAAATAAATGATAGAATCAAAAAAGCATTTTGCAATTATCTATTCATGAATTAATGAATCTAGGGAATGTCAATGACCTCTTACATAATAAAAAGATAAATAAAACATTTTTCCTGATGTAAGTTTATAACAACACCTATAAATTATTCTTGCCAAAAAAATTAAACTCAAATCTCATTAAATTTCCAGATCTAAGTATCAAATATTTTTTTATTTAGGAAAGATCATAATTAGTTTTGTTTTTCAATGAGATATGTACACAACTAGTAAGTTCAGTGCAGCAAAAAATCTTTCGCTGCCTTTCTAAGTATCAATTTTTGAGAAATAGAGACAGGAAGATGTTTTTTTAATAAAAAAAACACCACGGATTCAATCAGTGAGATACAAAATATGGGAAACTATAGGTCAAAGGGTGTGTTGTTCTTTTTTGATACTTTATTGTTGACAGTATTACACATGTCCCCCTCTTTTCCTCATTGACCCTCTCCAGCCCACCTCCGTCCCCCACCCCAGGCCCTCACCACTCCACTGTTTGCATCCAAGGGCAAATAGTTTCTTCAATTTGTAAAGGAAAAAGAGTGAAGTGGAAAAGATCAGATTAAAAGAGAAGGCACTTGAGAGCCTTAATCAAGTGATTAAGAACAAAACAAAGAATAAACAAACAGAATGGAAACAGTAGAGAAAACTTGAATACTGCCTGGATATTTAATTTAGAAATCACTTAACATTTTTAGATGTGATGATGTAATTAACTTTTAGAGATACATACTGAAATATTTATGGCAGACATGAAATAACGTCTGGGGTTGACTTCAAAAGAATCAGGTGTAGGAGGTAGGGAATGTGGAGGTATAGATGAATCAAGAGTATGCAAATGTTTATCATTATTGAAGCTGGGTAATGGTTATTAGAGATTCAGTACATGATGCTCTCTGCACCTTTGTATATATTAGAAATTCTCCACAATAAAAAGTGAAATATACAAACAAGATCAAAGGCTTCTTAAACCCAAACTCTTCCCATCTCTCTTAGAATGTCTCCAAGGATTCACATTTTTCCAACCTGACCTACTTAGTCCTCTCATTCTGCTCTGGCCAAACTGGCGTTTCTGCATGTTCCTCAAACATGCAAAGCTCAGTCTAATGTGGGAGGAGAGTTCCAAGCCACTTCAAGGCTGCTGTGACTTCACTCAGGTGTCTGATGGATGTGACTTCCTCAAGTGTGCCTTAAGCACTCTATCAAAATAGCACTTCCCTTCTCTCCCTACCAGCTCCTGCCCCTCTATTCTCTTCCTCTGTTCAGCTCTTCTTCATAGTACTTATCACTACCTGACCTCACCTTTGCATTGGCTTTCTCTCCAATAGAATTCACCCTTGCATTTGGTTTTTCCCTAATAGAATTCAAGCTCTTTGAATGTATGGAATTGGACAATCAGCCTGAATGACTATTAGCAGCTCACCTCTACTTATGTAGCAAGATATAATACATTTATTATTAATTAACTTGGAATATGAATTTGTCATCTATCTACATCTTGGCCCTCTACTGGGCTCTGTAAGAATCTTCATTGGTATTCCGTAACACCTAACCATACATACTAACTCAATATTTGCTCACTGGTTTTAGAACTTTGAGTTCTAAAGTATTAGCATATTTTAGGAATAATTAAGTTATTAGATCTGTATAACTTCATCTACTAATATCCCACCTCAGACTGTAAGAATGAATTTAATTTTATGCAAGCATTTGCCCCAAAGTGTGTTTGTCACAGTTGTCCTTTTACAAAATGCTTTTTTAAGAAAGTGTTTTGCCAAAACCGGTTTGGCTCAATGGATAGAGCGTTGGCTTGGGGACTGAAGGGACCCGGGTTTGATTCTGGTCAAGGGCATGTACCTTGGTTGCGGGCATATCCCTCGGAGGGGTTGTGCAAGAGGCAGCTGATGTTTGTTTCTCTTTCATCGATGTTTCTAACTATCTCTCTCCCTTCCTCTCTGTACAAAATTAATAAAATATATATTTTTTAAAAATTGTTAAAAAAAAAAAGTGTTCTGTGGTCAAAGTTACAAATAATTTTCAGAAATGCTACATGCTGTATTTGTCATGATGGTGATATAGTATGTATACACTGGAGATTTAGAGTAAATAAGTTTGATAATTTTAACCAGAATTTTCCAGATTTGACCACTGAATCTTTTTGTTGTGTAACATATATATCCAGGCAGCAGAACAATGTTCTATAAAATACACTTTTAGAAATACTGTAAGTAAAATATAATAAACAGATGCTACATTAGAAGGCAATTATTCACTTTGTAAATATATTGCTCTACTAAAGAATATGCCATATGGTTTAGAAATATCATGCTCCCTTAATAAGCTTTACATCTATTTTCAAATGTTTAAAGACTAAAACTACCACACAAAAAGAGAAAAGCTTTCAATTGTTTTACTTAACACATCCATTTACATTGTTAACAGTTTCATGTTTCACTTTTAAAACATAGATTTGGAACAAAACCAAAGACATATTACTTACAATTTGGCAAGTGATTTAATCCCTATGAAAACAAGAACAGCCTCAATTCCAAGAGCAGCAAGTATTATTCCATCATACAATACAGCTTGTACTGCAGTCCAGGCATACATATCCATTGTTAATGGAGTTAGGATGCTGAGAAAAACAAAAAAGAAAGTATTCTCACTTTATTTAAATCACAGTCATTGTTAAAGCTGATATAGAAACTTTAATAATGCTCTTGACACATTTAAGAATTTGTATCCCTTTTAACAATAACACCAGATCTAAAAAAACAAAAATTTTAACACACCTTTAGCAGTTTTTTATTTGATTGGTTATAGAGAGAAGAAAGAAGAGAGAGAGGGAGAGGAAACATGAATTTGGTGTTCCACTTATTCATGCATTCATTGGTTGATTCTTGTATGTGCCCTGATCAGAGATCGAACCTGCAACTTTGCAGTATTTGGACAATGCTCTAACCGACTGAGCTACCCAGCCAGTGCATTTTTAGCACATTTCGGTGTTATATTCACAAGCTACTAAGTTTGAGTGTTTGTGTTCTTATTTTTTAACATTTAATTATAAAGTAATATATGCACATTGTTAAGTTTGAAAAACAGGAAAATAAAACAAAGAAACCAAAATTCCTATCATTCTAATAAAACTAAATAAGCATGGTTATGTTTTGGGTAAAATCAGTCTCTTTTCAATTAAAAAATGTCACATTAGATTATTAGAACATTCTGGAATTTCTTTTCCTTGGTCTCTTTCATTCCTATCACTGAATGTGTATATTTTCGCCCTACCTCTCTCTGAATATCTCTCTCCCTATTATAACCATCTCCTTCCTTCCCAATCTTCTTTTCCTATTTCCTATCTCCTTTTGTTAACTAGTTACAAAATGGAATTGAAATATATTTAAAATATTCATTATTTTGCCCTGGCTTGTTTGGCTCAGTGGATAGAGCATTGGCCTGCGAACTGAAAGGTCCCGGGTTCCAGTCTGGTCAAGGGCACATGCCAGGGTTGCGGGCTTGATCCCCAGTAGGGGGCATGTAGGACGCAGCCAATCAATCTCTCTCATTATTGATGTTTCTATCTTTCCCTCCCTTTCTTTCTGAAATCAATAAAAGAAAAAGAAATTTTAAGTTCATTCTTTTTTTAAAAACATAAAAAACTAAAAAGCAAAATTAACAACAGAATATTACCATTTTTAAAATTTTAAAATCATATGAGCTGATATGGAACATAGTTTGGTGGTTTCACAATTACCATATGACCCAGCAGTTCCACTTCTGGATATATACCCAAAAGAACTAAAAGCAGGAACTCAAATAGATATTTGTACACCAGTGTTCATCACAGCATTATTCACAAGAGGCAATAGGTGGAAATAATACAAATGTCCATAGACAGATGAATGGATAAACAAAACTGGTATACATATAATGGAATATTATTCAGCCATAAAAAGGTATGCAATTCTGACACATGCTAAAACATGGATGAACTTTGAAAACATCATGCTAAATGAAATAAGACACTAAAAGACAAATGTACCATTCTACTTATATGAGGTACCTGAGAGAAAGTAGAATAAAGGTTACCAAGGGCTGGGTGACGGGGAGTAGAGACATTGTTTAATGGGTGCAAAGATTCTGTTTGGAATCATAAAAAGGTTTGGGAAATGGATAGTACATTCATATAACATTGTGAATGGACTTACTGCCACTGAACAGTACAATAAAAAATAGTTAAGCCCAGCTGGTATGGCTCAGTGGTTGAGTGTCAACCAGCAAGTCATGGTTCAATTTCCATTCAGGGCACATGACACTGTTACAGGTTTGATCCCCAGTAGGGGTGTGAAGGAGGCAGCCAATCAATGATCTCTCCCATCATTAATGTTTCTCTCTCCCTTCCTCTCTCTGAAAGTAATAAAAACATATTTATAAAAATAGTTAAAATAGTTTGTTTGTTTTTATCCTCACCCAAAAATATGTTGTTGTTTTTTTCATTGATTTTACGGTCTAGATGGTATGCTCAGTGGATAGAGCATCAGCCTGCGGAGTGAAGGGTCCCAGATTTAACTCCTGGCCAAGGGCACATACTTTGGTTGTAGGCTCCAGCCCTGGTCAGAGCACATGCAGGAGGCAACCATTCCATGTTTCTCTCACATCAATATTTCTCTCTGTATCCCCCTCTCCCACTCTCTCTAAAAATCAATGAAAAAATATTCTTGGATGAGGATTAACAAAAAAAATTATTTTAGGAAGGAGGGAGAGACAGAGGTAGGTACTAAGATTACAGACAAAATTAACCAAATTTAAATTAAATATCAAACGCTTTTTACATCATGACAAGAAAAATGTCATACATAAAGTTGAGAACAACTATATGCCTGATTAATATTGAATTAAATACAACTTGTTTACATAATCTAATGTAGAGGAAGACAAAACTTACGTTTCAAAAAGGGCAAAGATAAATAGGATCACAAAAAACAGAACATTGGTAGTCACTACAGCCACTTGATCAATATTTATCTGGGGAATCTGAATATCATCTCTTCTTACTGAAGTGAACAGGAGAAAAATTATATTATTTACAGGTGTTAGCAAATTCTATGACTAAACATTTAAAATCATTTTTAGGCTTCAAAATAATTTAGAAGTAATAATGTATATACTAGCAATGATATTTAAAACTCAAATAACTTTTCTTCCCAGGAAATATACTTCAATTCTGTTATCTATAGGAGATATTCTATTTGGTGTCTCTCAATTCAGAGGAGGCATGTATTTTACAGAATTCTATAAAATGATATTTCACTAAATACATGTTCTTTAAATTTCAGTTGCAGGGTTTTTTGTTTTCCCCCCCCTATCTTACCTTAATCTTAAATTACGAGAATTTCATGAAGACCTGAAATAGTTTATTAAATCAGTTCTCATTTCTATGATTCACTTCAATGAACATATATTTTATTTTTAATTTCAATCATATGTGAAATTAGTATTAGTAAATATCCTCATGTTATTACCATTCAAGTCCTTAAGTTATTTATATTTTTGCAAAGAAATAATTTAGGAGGGCAAGTGAGTGTACTGTCTTATCTTGAACCACTATAGTTAAGCAATCAGTACAAACTATTCCTGATATACTTGAGAAGTGTGAAGCTATATAGATCTTAGATACATCTGTCATGCTATTTTACTCAGAATAAATCCGGTAAGTAATACAAGAATGTGTTCATTTATGCTGTATAATTGTGTATATAGCAACAGCAGGGAACAGGCAGTGACTTTCCTAAAGCACAGTAAGTTTCTATAATTTTTCCATAATGGTACCTGCCTTTACATCTTAGGATTTCTGAGAAGGAATTCCTTCTCCAATTTCAAATGAGATTTGGAAATAGTCTGCTATACTTGGGTACAATTAAGAAAGTACCTTGGATATCAACATAGGGTCATGACCTCCCTTTCTAAACACAGAAATCTATAAAATTAGCTCTCTGAAACCAAGACAAAGTGATTTTTAGCAATGGTTTTAACCTTACCAATCATGAACACCAAATAACTGATATTTGTATGTCTTTTTTTTTTTTTTTAAACAACTTAGGTAACTTTCAACTTGGAAGATCTTTTCTAAGTCACTCCTTTTCTTGTCCTCAGAAGCAAAATACAAGTAAATACCAAAGAAATCATTAGAAACACTTTGTTAATTTTATAGTAATTTAGTTAAACAGCTTAATAATACCTTCTTCATTATTAATACTTGTACACTGTCGTCCTGTGTCATCCACACGATGCTCTCTTAAAAAGAAAAACATAAATATCATACCCATGAAATGGCTTAGTGTAATAGAAAAATGGGTTAAATTTTTACTAGCCTTCTATTTTTTCACATTCTGATCTAACTTTTTATATTGGCTTCTGAGCTATGAAATTATTAGCAATGAGAGATAACAAATAACATTTTAAAGAAACAAGTCATAATTCTTATTATGCTTATAAGATGGGGGAAAAACAACCACCAAATTCATCCAAAAGCATATGTGATCTACCTTAATCAGTATTTGAAGTTCTACAGTGGTTTTTAAACGTTATAAATGTTTTTGGACTCTTGGTTAAAGTATTCCAAAGAAATATAAACTAACCAAATTTTTATAGCTTTATAAATTTTTTTCTAATATATAAAAGATACATTTGAAGTAACGTTTGTATTTAAAGTTGATACTAATCATTAATTCACTTACAATATTGCTTTCATGCCATTTTCCTACTTAGAAAACTAAAATTATTAAATCAAGACCAAACCTTGCCCTGATCGGTTTGGCTCAGTGGATAGAGCATAAACCTGCGGACTGAAGGGTCCCCGGTTCAATTCCGGTCAAAGGCATGTACTTTGGTTGCGGGCACATCCCCAGTGGGGGTGTGCAGGAGGCAGCTTATCAATGTTTCTCTCTCATCGATGTTTCTGGCTCTCTATCTCTCTCCCTTCCTCTCTGTAAAAAAAATCAATAAAATATATTAAAAAAAAAAAAAGACCAGACCTTAACTTCTCAAAGACATTATAATCTGTTCTCATTTATCAAACTGTCTATTATTTTAGTTCTGAGTAAGTACATTAGCAAATCAGAAAATAACACAACTATAGACATGAAGTAACAAATAAAGACTTTTTAGGAATAATTATCCTCCAACAATGATAATGCTTATTTAATTAAAAAAGTAGTTTTATCATTTCTGTCTAATTACCTTAATATAACAATGATCAGAATAATATTTAAAAATCCAAGAAAGGCGCCAAGTAAAGCTGGTGCTGTATACATGTTTATCTGAAGCTGTATAGTCTCCCATGTCACGCCCTTTTCTCCAAGGATTGCAAAACAGGTCTGAAAAACTTATTAAAGTAAAACAACACAGATTTTTAAAGTTGTGAAAGACGTATACCACGAAATTAAAAGTAACATGGAATCATTTATCTACATCATGCCTCTGGACAGACAGAAAAAAAACTAGTTCTGGGTGAGGGGGACAGAAAAATTCACTCTTTTCTATATAAAACACATATACAGTACATACACCATATACAGTATGTCTGTGGTATTAAAATTTCATGGGATAGAATGGTTAGGGAAAAAATGTCTAAAAAAAAACTCCTTAGGGAGTCAATAATGAAAAAAAGATTGGAAAAAAGAAAAAAAGATTGAGAAACACTGATCTGCATAAATTTACAAAGGACTATATCTCAAGAAGTTACTTCAGTAATTTCACTTATTTAAAATCTCTATAAGAAATATATACCATGTTTCCCAGAAAATAAGACATCCTCCGAAGATAAGACCTACTTACAGGTTTCCTTCTGAGTGAAATATAAGGCATCCCCCCGAAAATAAAGCCCCCCTAGGCTAAACATGAGAGATTTGGTCCACTGATTCTGAAAGAAATGGAGTCACAAGAAATTCACCAGGAAATTCAGGAATTGGATTGTTATGATGATGTTCCAGAAGCTGATGACATGATTGTCATTGAATAAATGAGTAAATTCTTGATACTGTAGGATTCACAGCTTGTCTGGTTTGTGTTGACAACTACGGTACTACCGTACCGTATACAGGTAATAAATTTTCTTTATTTTCATTTAACAATAAATGTGTACCATATTCTTCTTCATGGAAAAATAAGACATCCCCTGAAAATAAGACCTAGCGCATCTTTGGGAGCAAAAATTAATATAAGACACTGTCTTATTTTCGGGGAAACAGGGAACTTCTTCCATAAATGGATTATATGTTTAGTAAACCTCGTGTCACACTTCAAGTAAATAGTTTAAAATATTACTGTGTATATATTTAAATTACATACATTTAATATTTTAAATCTAGTTTTATGGCAGATATTTAGATTGGGAGAATACTGATTTGCTCTCCTGATTTATATCTGGCTCTTCCAAAAAATATACATGTACTTCTGTGGTGAGGATTAAGTAAGATACTGCAGCACTTAGAACAGTATCTAGTACATACTCAGTAAATGTTAGTGCTTGTTGATGTAGTTATTATTAGGAAAGTTATCTAAACTTTTCAGGCCTACATTTACTATCTATAAAGAATGTTTAAGTGAAATAGTCTTTAAAATATTTAAGTGGTCAAAATATTTACTGAGAACCTGTGTACACCAGATACTGTGTGAGACACTGAGGGTCAAGTAAGATGCAGAGTATTTTATATTATGGCAGTAGATCCAATTCTACATTTGTAAAATACTGTATAAAAATATAAGTAAAATATTACATATTTTACATCAGCATGCTAAAATGAAATATTAAATATTGATGAATGTTGAATTAGATTCTAATCTGTTGAGCGTTTTCTTGGTTAATTAGCAGTAATGGAAACTGAAGTGAGGGTGGCATCTTGAAGTAAACTGGGTTTAATTCAAACTGCTGATATCCATAGCTTCAATTTTTCAATGCATGAGTCAATTATATGGTTTCAATGTTATTCTAGGCATAAAAATGACTGATTTCTGAACTCAGCAAAAAATACTTGTCCTTGGAGAAGTCTTAAATATCGTTACAATTTTTTTTATACACAGCTAAGGATAGAAGCTTTGGAAGAGAAAGATAATATTAAGTCTTTTTAAATTCTTTCATTTTTTTCATCCTCAGAAAAGTCTTAAAGTATGGACAAAGGGCAAAAGGATAAAGAACTCCTATAATTTTCCTTAAATCATTCAGTCAAAAAAAATTTTGTTTCTAGTTGGGAAAAGAAAGCAAACTCTTGCAGATAGTTCAAGCTAAATGATTATTATTATTTATAATATTATAATTAATTATTTAAATGATTTATTTCACAGAAGATATATTTCAGAGTCAGATAGAATTAGATTTGAACCTCAGATTTCCCATTTATAATCTAGCTGACCTTGGATCATTTGCTTAGATTCTAGGCCTTGGTGCCGTTATCTGTAAAAAGGGACTAACTAATAACACTTAGACAGCAGGAGTTAACATATATATAGGGTGGGCAAAGTAGGTTTACAGTTGTTCCTATAGAAAATAACATAATAAATAAGAAATTTTCACATAAAACTGTGGACCTACTTTTGCCCCATCCTGTAAAGAGTCTAATCTCACTGCTGCATCCAAAAATATCTGTTTCACTTCAACTATGAGGTTTTCTATTCGGATTTCATTTAACATTTGAACTCAGAAATTCTGCCCAATTCAAATGTAAATAGTTACAAGTGAAAAACACCTACCTGGACCTAGAATAAAACCTAATGCTTGAAATGCACTTGTATTTGCCATGGCACTTGTTCTTTCGTGGAGGCAAGTAGCACCGGCAATGTATGCTCTAATAACTGCCACATTCCCTAAGAAAAGACAAAATTAAAGAAAATATCCTTCAGTTTATAAAAGTTCAACTTAAGTTGGCATTATGCAGAGGAAATATTAATCCATAGTATAGTCACTGCTTCCTCTTTATTATCATACGAGGCGTGTTTATTGAGGAAATGCATTAATAGAAAATATTACTTTTAGTAAAATGAAAACACAGTTAAATATTTGAATTAATAAAAAATGGCATTAGCCCTAGCCGGTTTGGCTCATTCATCTGCAGACTGAAGTGTCATAGGTTTGATTCTGGTCAAGGGCACATGCCTGGGTTGTGGGCTTGATCTCCAGTAGGGGGCGTGCAGGAGGCAGGCGGTCAATGATTCTCTCTCATCACTGATGTTTCTCTCTCTCCCTCTCCCTTCCTCTCTGAAATCAATAAAAACATATATTTTAAAAACTGGCATTATAGGAATGACGAACTATTTTTTCATCATTAAGTACTGAGAAAGCACTGAGTACCAGTAAGTGGCATATTACTCATTGCTATAATTTTTTTTTCATTGCTATAAGTATTTTTAAAAGCAAGATGTCACAAACTTCATGCTTACACTAGTAATAAAAGAAACAGAAAAAAAAATCCACTAACAATTCAAAAATTTATTGAGCAATTACTGTGTACAAGAGACTTTGCTAGGGACCAGGCCACAAAATATTTTTTTTTTAGTCAAATTGTCTCTCATTACAAAAAAAGTTTACTGCCTGGTTGGTGATATAAAATAAAAACAGCCCAAAACAGTATATAAGAAAGGAGCAGGGCCCTAACTGGTTTGGCTCACTGGATAGGGCATCAGCCTGTGGATTGAAGGGTCCTAGGTTTGATTCCAGACAAGGGGACATGCCTGGATTACAGGCTCTCTCCCCAGTAGAGAGCATGCAGGAGACAGTAGATCAATGATTCTCTCTCATAATTGAATTTCTCTCTCTCGCTCCCTTCCTGAAATCAATAAAAGGATATTTAAAAAAGAAAGGGACAGGGTAGCCTAAGAAAATTCCTGGAAAATAAAACTTGAGTTAAATCTTGAAGGATGAATGATGGGAACAGAAGAAATAAGTAATAGGAACATCATGAGCAGGAGCTAAACAATAGAAAGGTATCTGTTTGGCTCAGTGGTGGAGCGTCGGTCTGCGGACTGAGGGGTCCCGGGTTCGATTCCGGCCAAGGGCATGTACATTGGTTGTGGGCACATCCCCGGTGGGGTGTGTGCAGGAGGCAGCTGGTCGATGTTTCTCTCTCATCGACATTTCTGGCTCTCTCTCTCTCTCTCCCTTCTTCTCTGTAAAGAATCAATAAAATATATTTTTTTTAAAAAAGAAAGATATCTGTTTGCAATCACATATTTATATGTTGAACATTGGATATGAGATTAAGTGAGACAGTTTGTGAATCTGACACAACAGAACATACACATATATACATGTATATTACCTGCTCCAAATCCCACCAATCCACGAGCCACCAACATGTAGTATTTATTATGAGAAGCTGGGACGTGCACATACGCATAGAGGCAGTTGGCTGCCACCGAAATGAAGAGGGAGATAATGAGAGGTTCCTTTCTTGGTCTATAATTAGACCACCAACCAAACATAGGTGAAGCTACCATTTGGCCAAGACTAAATGAAGCAATAACCCAGCCCAAAAACCTTGTATCAGCGGTGTGGTCAATCTGCAGGAAAAAAAGTACAATGCTTTAAGAATTACCATCCAAGGAAAGTTAAATTTAAAACATAAATACATTTTTATGACATGAAATATATTTTTAAATATATTTTTATTGATTTCAGAGAGGAAAGGAGAGGGAGAGATAGAAACATCAATGATGAGAGAAAATCATTGATTGGCTGTCTCCTGCATGCTCCCTACTGGGAATTGAGCCCACAACCTGAACATGTACCCTTGACCGGAATTGAACCCGGCCCTTCAGTGCACAGGCCAATGCTCTATCCACTGAGCCAAACCAGTTAGGGCTAATATTTATTATTTTAAAAAATAAAAACAATTCTAACTAATGTAAGTTTTGTAATACCATTGTTTACAGTAAGTGATTCAGATTTCTGACATTACAGTGAAATGTACTGAATTCACTATACATCAGGAAAAATGCTTGAGAAGCTTCACATTTTGGAATGATTATGAAGAGTTGGTTCAGCCTGGCCAGCGTGGCTCAGTGGTGGAGCATGGACCTATGAACCAGGAGGTCATAGTTTGATTCCCAGTCAGCACACATGCCCGGAGTTGCAGGCTCAATCCCCAGGAGGGGATGTGCAGGAGGCAGCCAATCAATGATTCTCTCTCATCACTGATGTTTCTATTTATCTCTCCCTCTTCCTTTTTCTCTGAAATCAATTTTAAAAATATTGAGCCCTGGCTGTTTTGGCTCAGTGGATAGAGCATCAGCCTGGGGACCAAAGGGTTCCAGGTTCGATTCTGGTCAAGGGCATGTACCTTGGTTGCGGGCCATCCCTAGTGGGGGGTGTGCAGGAGGCAGCTAGTCGACGTTTCTAGCTCTCTCTCTATACCTCTCCCTTCATCTCTGTAAAAAAAAAAAATCAATAAAATATATATTTTTAAAAAATCTTGTTAAGCCCAGCTGATGTTTACTCAATAGCTGAGCACAGAACTATGAACCAGGAGGATCAATTCCAGGTCAGGACTCATGTCCTGGTTTCAGGCTTAGTCCCCACGAGAGCAACGTGCAGGAGGCAGCTGATTAATTTTTCTCTCTAATCATTGATGTTTCTATCTTTCCCTTCCTCTCTCTGAAATCAATAAAAACTTACCTTAAAAAGTATTTTTTAAAATATAATCACATTAACATTAAAATAATAACATGACATTCTTTAATTCTTAGGAAGTAAAAATAATTATTTAAACATATTATTCTATAAACTAAACAGCCATTAGCACTGTAAATCTTTTTTCCAAAGGGGCACAATAGTCACATGCTTATGAGACAATAAAAACACAAAAACTGAAAGATAATTCTCATTAAACCTATTACTAATTCTTCCTTTGAACAAAAACAATTCAAGAGGGTTTATATATCATGATGAATGTTCAGGGGAGAACCAAATGATTAAAATTCACAAAATGCAATACTTTCAGAAAAAAGAAATTTTCAGCTTACAAAAATATATGTTAGGCTATATAATAATTTGAAAAAATAACCATTAAATTTTAGGAAATAAGTTTTAATGTATAGGTTAAGTGGTAGAACAACAGAAAAACCATGGCCTTTTCTAAAGTTATTTTTAAATAACAGTGAAAATACTGAGGTACATTTTGAGGGAATTAGAAATAACAGTAACTGAGTATAATGATTCATAATATTTTAAAGGTCTAGCCTTTAAAATATTTTTCAGTTCACTAGACAGGTAAGTTTTTTTCAATTACAGTTTACATTCAATATTATTTTGTATTGGTTTCAGGTGTTCAGAACAGCAGTTAGATAATCATATACTTTGCAAAGTGATCCCCCCAATATTTCAAGTACCCACCTGGCACCATGCATAATTATTACAATACTAGAGGCCCAGGGCATGAAATTTCTGCACTCAGGGGGGTTCCTCAGCCTGACCTGCACCCTCTAGCAATCCAGGAGCCCTCAGAGATGTCTAGCTGACAGCCATCAGGTGGACATTCTTAGTGCTGCCATGGAGCTAGGAGAGGGTCTGTGTTGAACTGCCCCCTGCTGGTCAGTGAATGTCATAGCGATCAGTTATTTCGCCATTCTGTCGACTTGCATATTAGGCTTTTATTATATAGGACTAGTGCACAAAAATGTGTGTACTAGGAGAGTAGGAGGGGGAAGGTCCCTCCCTCAGCCTGGCCTGTGCTCTCTCACAGTCTGGGAGCCCTTGGGGGATGTCCTACAGATGGCTTAGGCCTGCTTCCTGCGATTTAAGCTGCAGTCTGGCCTCCCTGTGCAGGAGGCAACCAGCTGATCAGAAAGGTGCTGTTCCCATCATCTTGTCACTGCTGTGGCTGCATTGCAGCTGCAGCAGCTTTGTCTGGATGTCCAGAAGGACGCTCAACTGTCTGGTCTAATTAGCATATATGCTTTTATTATTACAGATTATTGACTATATTCCCTATACCATACTGTACATCCCCATGATTGTTTTTTGGAACTACGTCTCTGTATTTCTTAATCCCTTCACCTTTTGTACCCAGTCCCCCAAATCTCTGCCCCTCTAGCAACCACAAAAATCTCGTTTTAGGCACCATGGTTTTTATTTTCTATCTGTATTACCTTTAGTTCCTTTTCCTCTCTCTCTTACAATATAAAATAACTTCATGCCATATAAATTTTAAAACTAATTTTCCATACAACAATGAAAACTCCATTTTAATATTAAATGTGTAGTGATTTAAAAGCAAAAGATACAAATGTTTTCTCAGAATATCAATGGCTCATAAGCAAATATCTATTTCATGGACAGAAGTGAGCTGACTCTTTAGGATAGCTCTAACAATATTAACAATATTTGCTGGTGACTACTGGAAATTTTTATTTTAACTGCATACTATTCTTTACATTGACTGGAATATGCTAGAATTATAATATCGATAGGAAAGTAACAACAGAAGGTGTTACTTCAGTAATTGAACTATCACCTGTGTTCATGTGCGTTTTCTCTTACAATAACAGAGTCTTATTTTTGGTCACCTCTGATGATCTCCATTATACTGTTTTCAGGAAAAAACCTAACTCACAAGCTGGCCACTGTCTGCCTAACTTCTTCTCTCTGCACAATTTGAACTTCTAGCCAAGTAGAACTGTTTGAAGTTTCCAAAATGAGCAAACGTTTTCTGCCTCTAGGCACCTGTTCTTCTACTGCCCCTTCCACCAGCAATATCTTCCCAACATCCTACTTCCTGGCCCCCACCTTGCCTTCAGGAGACCAAATTCCTCAGGACTTTAAAACTTGTCTTCTAGGATCTCTACTTCGGATTAGCAACATCCCCCTACCACCCATGTCTGTCTATCTGTGTCTGTGTGCGTGTATGTCTAAAAGTCACTTCTTTCTCCCACACCTACACACATTTACTTTTAGACCTTTACCTACTTATTTTGTATTGTTATTATGTATTGTTATTATTTGTAAACATGTTCGGTTTGGCATACTTCATTGAAAATTGGATCTATATCTCCTCTTAAAAACAAAAACAAAAAAATAAACTTTTGGTCCTAGCCAGTTTGGTTCAGTAGATAAAGCATTGGCCTGCGAACTGCAGGGTCCCAGGTCTGATTCCGGTCAAGGGCACATGCCTGACCTGTGGGCCTGATCCCCAGTAGAGAGCATGCAGGAGGCAGTTGATCAATGACTCTCTCATCATTGATATTTCTCTCTTTCTCTCTCCCTCTCCCTCCTCTGAAATCAATAAAAATATTTTTAATTAAATTAATAAAATAAAGTTTCATAATACTATATTTCAAATCATTCTTCTCTAAACATGTTAATAAATTGACAGACTCAAACTTCTAGAAATCTTCATGTTTTGCTATGGGAGCTGAGATATGAATAGAGGTATTCCAAGCCTTAACTATCCTATCTAATAAATATGCTAATTGATCCTCATGCCATTGCAAAGATGGTGGCACCCACAGCCAATAAAGAGGGAATATGCTAATACACTGCCATGCCCTCAAAGATGGCAGCTCTCACAGCCACAAGATGGAGGTACCCAGTCCCCTTAGCCCCTCAGCTACCCAGGGCTGGCCCAAGGTGCAGGCAAGCCTCAGATGGTGGCTTCCCAGCCACCCAGGGATGCCCAAAAATCAGGTAACCAGGTTCGGCTGAGGCTTGCGCTGCCAGCAGTGGCAACAGCAGAAGTGTGATGGAGACATTGCCTCCCACCCCTGAGGGCTCCTGGACTGTGATAGGAAACAGGCTGGGCTGAGGGACCCTCCTCCAGTGCATGAATTTTCATGCACCAGGCCACTAGTTTACTTATAAATGAATAGAAGCCTGTTGCATGAAGAGATTCGTGCAATAGGCCTTCCTTCCCTTGGCTTCCAGCACCAGTTTTCCTCCAGCACCCAGGAACCAGGCCTTTGCTCTGGCTGGAGTCTGCTGTCTTCGTCTTTGTTGCAGACTCCAGTCTGCAGTCTTTGTCTTCGCTGCACTGCAGTGCCAATCCTATAGATCCCTTCGCCCCCTGCCCTCCCTCTCATAACAAGTGTCCTACCCCATCTGGCCACTCCACACCTGGGGCAGCTGGGTGGCAGCCATCTTTGTCCTAATTTGCATATTCCCTCCTGATTGGCTGGTGGGCATAGTGGAGTGATGGTCAATTTGCATTTTTCTCTTTTATTAGTGTAGATTGCTTATTTATCCAATTAACAGTACTGTAATTAAGAGTCAGATTTTGGTTTCAGATAGGGTTGGCTCTGCCATTTTCTAGTTATGTGACCTGGGGCGAGCTATCTAACTTTTCTGAGTCTACGTTTCTTCATCTGTCAAACAGGTGTGATAATATCCACATTACAAAGTTGTTATGAAGATCAAAAGATGATGTAAGTGAAAGATTTAATACTGTCAAGGTGCATATGAACTCTCAATATGACGAAATAACTTGAGAAATTTAAGTTTTCTGGTGAAAATATTATATTCGTATTGCTAAAGAACCAATTATAAGTTCATGAAATCAATACATTTACCTTTGAAGAGTTTTCAAATATCTGGGGGAAGGTGTGAAAATTCAACATATTGGGCTGAGTAGACCTAATTATTGCAAATACCTTCTCTTGAGAATTTTGAGGTTAATTAGACTAAAAACAGGGACCTTACAAATCAACAGTTGTGATGCATGGATATTTAGCAAAGATACTGCTGCAGTATTATTAAATACTGTTTCAATTCCAATAATTCTGCCAGTGGGAAAAGAATTTTTACTGTCATGGATATAATTTAAAAAAAAAATTAATTTATTGACTTGAGAGAGAGAGAGACATCCTTTTGTTGTTCCACTTATGTATGCACTCATTGGTTAACTCTTGTACGTGTCCTGACTGGGCATCGAATCCCCAACCTTGGTGTATTGGGATGATGCTCTAACCAAACTGAGCCCCCCTACCAGTGCTCATACGTAATAATTTCATGTAATATAATTTAAAAATTAATTTACAAAATAGCAATGCAAATGTGGCACTAAATCTAGTTTATTTTTGTTTTTATTAGGGAGGTGGTTTTGATAAAGGTAAAAGTGGCTAAAAAGTAGATGACCATACCTATACATTTGCCTGGGACTGATCAGGTATAATCCTATTTTCCTGGTATAACACTCCTTTCACTTCAAGTGTTCTGGTTTGCACAATAAAGCATATGATCACATAACTTATAATCTTCTATTGAATTATTATCTTGAATTTTTCTAGTGAAGGTTAAATCATAGCCCTAGCCAGTTTGATTCAGTGGGAAGTGTTAGTGTGCGGACTGAAGGGTACAAGGTTTGATTCTGGTCAAGGGCATATGGCCAGATTTTGGGCTCGGTCCCCAGTAGGGGGCCAGGCGATCAATGATTCTCTCTCATCATTGATGTTTCTTTCTCCCTTTTCCTTTCTCTCTGAAATCAATAATGATATAATAAAAATTAAAAATAGATTGCCCTAACTAGTTTGGCTTAATGGATAGAGCATCAGCCTGTGGACTCAAGGGTCCCAGTTCGATTCCAATCAAGAGCATGTGCCTTGGTTGTGGGCACATTCCTAGTAGGGCGTGTGCAGGATGCAGCTGACTAATGGATGTTTCTCTCATCGATGTTTCTAACTTTCTATCCCTTTCCCTTCTGTAAAATATCAGTAAAATATATATATTTTTAAAATTAAATCATAGAATATCAAAGAGACTCCAGAAAACACTTAACTACATAAAAGTTAATACTATTAAAGCTACTTAAGAGAAGAATAGCCAAAACTGGTTTGGCTCAGTGGATAGAGCGTCGGTCTGCGGACTGAAAGGTCCCAGGTTCGATTCCGGTCAAGGGCATGTACCTTGGTTGTGGGCACATCCCCAGTGGGAGGCGTGCAGGAGGCAGCTGGTCAATGTTTCTCTCTCATCGATGTTTCTGGCTCTCTTTCCCTCTCTCTTCCTCTCTGGAAAAAATCAATAAAATATATACTAAAAAAAAAAAAAGAAGAAGAATAAAGTGTACAAACCTTTTGGAGATAGGGCCATATTGACATTATCACAATAGAAAATCCTGTAAAGAGGTAAACTGTTATTTATATTTATAATAATTCCATCACTGTAAATACCATTTTTTGATTCTAGCATGGATTTTAAAATTCTGAATTTAAAATTTATGCACCCAAATGTCTACTTTATCAAACAATGTGGTTTTAGGCTTAAAAGAATATATAAGTATAGTCCTTGACCATAATCCTATCTAATAAAAGAGTAAATGCAAATTGACCATTACACCAAGAGACAAGATGGCTGTCCCCATGTGGACACAAAATGGACACCACAAGATGGCCTGCAGGGGAGGGCAGTTGTGGGAAGTTAATGGTGACTAAGCCAGCAGAGGAGGGCAGTTGGGGGAGATCAGGCTAGCAAGGGAGGGCAGTTGGGAAAGGGACCAGGCCTGCAGGTGAGGGCAATTTGGGGGGCCAGGCTTGCAGGGGAGCAGTTGGGGGCGCGGGAGACAGGCCTGTAGGAGAGGGCAGTTTTGGGCAACCAGGCCTGCTGGGGAGGGCAATTTGGGGGGATAGGCCTGCAGGGGAGGGCAGTTGCGGGGGGAGAGGGTCAAGGCCTGCAGGGGAGGACAGCTGGGGGGGAACCCAAGCCTGCAGGGGTGGGCAGTTGGTGGGGACCAGGCCAGCAGAGGAAGGCAATTGGGAGACAGCAGTCCTGGATTGTGAGAGGGATGTCCAATCACTAGTCAGACATCCCTCAAGAGGTCCCAGATTGGAAAAGGTGCAGTCTGGGTTGAGGGACACCCATGCCCCCTTGCACAAATTTCTTGTACCAGGCCTCTAGTTAATATAATAAAAGTCAATTGCCTATTTTCCCTTCCAAGCCTTTACTATAAATGGTAATTACTAAAAGCTTTGTTAAAGTGTTTACAGCAGAAATTAATGGAGGAAAGGCCACTTGGTTATAGAGGAAGAGCTAGAGTCCTAATCTGTGTTGTTTGGGAGAGATTAATTAACTACAGGGATGTTTAGGAATAAATGAAAGGCAGTAGTTATAAAGAACCAGGACACTGCCTTGGCTGGTGTGGTTCAGTTGGTTGGGCATTGCCCTCATACACCAAAAGGTGGCTGATTTGGATTCCAGGTCAGGGAGGTTTCAGGCTCAATCTCCTGTAGGGGATATGCACGAGGCAGTCCATCAGTGTTTCTTTCCCTTCTCTCTCTGTCTCTCTCTCTCTCCTTTCGTTAATCCTCACTCAAGAATATTTTCCCATTAATTTTTAGAGAAAGTGGAAGGGAGGGAGAGGAACAGAGAGAAACATCAATATGATATTGGTTGCCTCCCACATGAGCCCACCTCCAACCGAGATATGTGCCCTTGATGGGAATCAAACCTGGGACCCTTCACTCTTCAGCTAACACTATGCACTGAGCCAAACTGGCTCCTCTCTCTCTAAAAATTAATTTAAAAATCTCAAAAAAAGACCCCACAAAAAAAGGATACTTAAGAGAAAAGTCATTATTTCTGTCATTGACTGAGATGTAATGATAAACTCCAGTGCTAGTTGTCAATTTTAAATGGTAGGCACATGCAATCAAAATTCTATAAAGTTTTTTTAAAGAAATTTTATTAAGATATAATTCACATATCATACAATTTACACACTTAAAAAATACAATTCAGTGGTTTTTAGTATATCAAATATTTGAAACTATCATCAAAGTCAATTTTAGAATATTTTAATAACCTAAAAAAAGAAACCTGGGCCCTTTAACCATATGTTGCTACAGTCCAGAATAGTCACATTCATAGAAACTGGAAATAGAATGGTGGTCCCTAGAGATTGGGAGGATGTGGAATAAGGAGTTGTTAACTGGGTAGAGTTTCAGTTTTGCAAAGTGAAAAACTAGGTATTGGTTATATAGCCATGTAGATACACTTAACACCTCTGATCAAGATGGTAAAGTTGAAGTTATGCAGTTTTACCTCAATAAAAATAATTTTTAAAAAATTAAATATTAAAATACTAGAGGCCAGGTGCATGAAATTCATGCATGGGTAGGATCCATAGAGCTGGACACCAATCAGGGCCAATCTGCAGGGCAACCAGGGGCCCCCCCGCTAGCACCCACCTTGGCTTGGGGGCAGCTCCTGCATTGAGCATCTGCCCCTATTGGTCAGTGCATGTTATAGCAACCAGTTGTTTGGTCAATTTGCACATTAGGCTTTTATTATATAGGGTACCTTATATAAATTTCTAAAATTATGTGATTTCTAGTACTTACCTACACTGCTGAGAAACATAGTAAGATACAGAATCCTAATAGATCTCCATCGGCTCTTATAATGCTCCTCAGTTTCTATAATTTCCCAATCTCTAGGTGTAAGGAAGAAAAACGTAGTACTAAGTTATCTCATTAAATGCAAACCTTTCTGTGCCAGACTTTTATTTGCTATAGTCTAAAATCATAGAAATTATATCAGAGGTATAATTTACTAATATTGATTTTTCTGTACTAATTCATCTATGAATAAGCATTATTCCTTTGGCTTTCCATGGGTTGTATTTATGCATTATTTTACAATTTTATTATTCCAGAGTGCTGAAACTTGTTAAACTGACCAAATGAATAAAGTTTATAAAAATAAATAAACTAGCTTCAACAATTAGGTCTCCCACAGGTGGGATATACAACTACTAAATATTTTAAGATAATTACTGTCATCATTATGACATGCTCTACTTGATGACAGTAAATTAACTTTGCTGCAGGAAGCTATTCTGGCTGGGTCAAATTAATGTAGACATGACACCAAGAAGGTTTGATGCGACCTAACACATTCCTACCCTGAGACCTCCTAGAACACTTGCCTTTCCTCTAACACACATGTGTCAAACACAAGGCCTGCGGGCCAAATCCGTCCCACCAGGCCTTGCAATGTGGCCCGCACCGCGATGTCATCACTGCACTCCGCTGCGTTTCCATCACAATGACAGTTTATGACTGTTCAGTAAACCATTCGGCCCGCGATTTAGGCTGGATTTTATATTTTGGCCCCTTCTCTGATTGAGTTCGACACCCCTACTCTAACACATGGACTAGAGAGACTGGTTGTTCGTTCATATAGGCTTGTGATCTGGACTAAAGGCCAAGTATATTAAAAAAGACAAGTATATTGATCAGGCATCCTACCTCTGTCAGGTGATATTCATGAGAGTATGTACCCATTACATTTTCACACATGCATAAAGAGTTTAATTTACTTTGAGAATTATGTTTTCAAAGAGTTAAGACAAGCAAAACAGACAAAATAATTTCTGATGGCTGTTCTCTCCACTTGGTAACCACTTGAGGTTTTTGAGCATCGCTTCCTGCTTGAACTCTGGATTCTAGAAGGAACTCCCGCCTGTGACTGGGCGAGCAATGGCTTCACCAGCAGAGCTTAACTGCCCCTCCACAAGGTCCTCTTCTCAGCTGTCCAATGAAGAAGGCTCAGGAAACCTTTCTCCCCAGCAGGACACAGAAGAATATGTACTGACGAGGAGTTATGGCCTGGTCTACAGGAGGAGACATGGAGTGAAGACAATGGCAAGTCTTAAAAAAGACCTCAAAGGCCTGTTTCCAACATGGCTGAGGAGAACGAATGAGGCCATTCAAAACCGCAAGAAGAACAAGCATGAGCCAATAATTGATTGTGACTGTAGTGATTGCCAATCAGATCCAGGTCCTTCTGGTATTATTAAGGATTATGAAGCGGTTTTGGCTGGCTTGCCTCAGTGGCAAGAGTGTCAGCCTGAGGACTGATGGGTCTGGGTTCAATTCCAGTCAAGGGCACGTGCTCAAGTGGGGAGCATTTGGAAGCAGCTGATCAATAATTCTATCTCATTGTTGATGTGTTTATCTCTCTCCCTCTCCCTGCCTCTGAAATCAATAATGTAAGTATATAAAACAAAACTCACACCTTAAAAAAAAGAATTATGACATGGCATATTCTTTTACTCATTTGAGTTGTAACACATTTTTTTGAGGCACTCTTTCAATGTTTAGTAGCAAATGTGTGTATAGGGCATCATTAATAAACTTGAAGCATATCTGAGAATATTAAAATAATAATAATAATAATAATAATAATTTCTGATGTTCCAGGACTATTTTCTAAAATAGATTTCAGACTCACATTAGTCTTAAAAAAAGAAACTTTATTTTTCAACTGTGATGTGACTGGGAGTGGTAGAGAAGGAGGGAAGAGGAGAGATATTAGATCTACTGTGCCAGGTATATTAAATCAGCTCCTGATACAACATATGCGTATGAAGTGCTTAACACCACACATGCCATTGCATAAATAGGAGAAATCTTTAGGCCTTACTCAAACTTCTATGTTCTAACTACACACAATTCTATTGACCTTATATATGGTTTATGAACCAGCACCAAAGTAGGAGTCCCAAAATAAAGTTGGGAGAAGTTGCTGACAGCAACAAAAACAGGTTTGCTAACAGGTAACAAATACATGATGAGGAATAGTCTGTGAAGAACAGAATAGGCAAAACACTAAAAAAAGACATGAAACTTTTAAGTACAGCAGTGTATAATAAATCAGAATAGGCCGAAACCGGTTTGGCTCAGTGGTAGAGCGTCGGTCTGAGGACTGAAAGATCCCAGGTTCGATTCCAGTCAAGGGCATGTACATTGGTTGCGGGCACATCCTCAGTAGGGGGTGTGCAAGAGGCAGCTGGTCGATGTTTCTCTCTCATCGACATTTCTAGCTCTCTATCTCTCTCCCTTCCTTTCTGTAAAAAAATCAATATAATATATTAACATAAATAATCAGAATAGGAGCAGTAGTCCAAAATGTCTCAATAGGCCAAGAACATCACTCCATGACAACATTTCAACACTGATATGACTGTAATCTCAAGATAAAATTACAATTCATGTATTGTTTAGTAAATCAGAGATCAGAGAAAGACATTTTCCAAAGAGTTTCAGACTGGTTAAAATAAGGTTTGGTGCTTTAAGAAGCACAAATGAGCAAAAATTAACGTAGACAGCTTTAACTGTGTATCAGTTTATCTGATTTTAACTATTATTTCAAATATAAAATACTTAACTCCGTTTTCCTAAAGGCAAAAAATACATAACTGGACAGTGAGAGATAAACTAACAATTCCACAAAGTAGGAGCAAAATAACCTTAGAATTAAGGGTCAAAGTACACTTCATCTCCTAAATGCTAAAAAATAAAAAGTAAGTCTTTATATACGGTATTTGGCATAGGACAACGGTGAACCCATTTCAGACGGGTTCACTTGCTCGCAAAGAATCCAGCAATTAGGTCCATGCTAAGGGCACTGTGTGTTCAAATGACAATGCGAACCATCATCTCGGGATCCTTGTGGAAATGTGTGCAGGGCTGAGCTCTGTAAAAGGCCAAGAGCCGAATGACGGACGGAGGCTGCACCCGCGGAGTGCCGTGCGAAGGCCCTGTGACTTTGACACCTTCACCGGGGCCCGCGGGCCCACGCGCGGACGCACGCCCCCCTCCGCGGCGGCGGCGGCGGCGGGGGATCATCTTCCGGTCACGAGTCACCTGCCGCCATGGGCCCCACCCCCCTCCCCACGCCTCCGCCCTCTTCTGCCCGGTCTGGTGAAAGGGACCAGGCCCAACAGCGCAGGAAGGTGAGGGATCCTTCCCCCACATCCGCTCACCTGCTTCCGGGTGTGCGGTCGCCTAAGAGCGGCTCCTGCTCAGCCTGGGTGCCCGGGCCCTCCATAGCTACCGCGCTCGCTAGGAGGTGAGAGAGGCTAACTCTCGCGACACCTCCGGCGCCTTCCCCCTCCTGCCCTGATGCGGGGCAACCCAGTCCAGCGAGTGCGCGTGCGCGCCCGGAAGCCATCCGTTGGCGGAGCGCCCCGGGAGTTTAGATCACGCGGGACTCGGGGCGGGGCGACGGGAGCAGCCAGGGGCGGGGCCCTGCGTCCCGGGCCTCCGCGGCGGGTCTGCGCCTCTCGGGTTCCGCCACCGCCACCGCCACCGCCACCGCGTGGGGAGGCCAGCCGAGGCGAGGGCTGGGCGTGTCCAAAAGGCCACCCCGCCCCGCTCCTTGGGTTTCCCGGGGCTCTGGTCCGTAGCCGAGCTCCCGAGTTCCTGGAAAGGCAGCTGGCGCCGCGGTCGGAGCTCGGACGCGAGGCGAGTCCCGGGAGACGGGCCGTGCGGTGTTGGGAGACTCGTGGGCTGGACGGACGGCGCCCGCTGAACGGCCAGTAAGTCGCCGGTCCGAGCCGCGCTCCCGAGCCCCTCTGACGCGCGGCGAACGTGCCGGGAGTCAGGGCCCGGCTGGAGGGAGACCCAGGAGGGCGAGGCCGGGGTCCGGGGCGCAGGGCCAGGTGGGGTTATGCATAGATGGAGGCACATTAGTTCCTTCCCCCCGTGGAAGCTGAAAGTGACTTCGCGCCCTTTCTCTTGTTGGGCTAACTCCCTGCTTGAGGCGTAGATGGGGCGCGGGAGATGGGGGTCCAGCCTCAGCCGACCTCCTGACCCCCGGATCCGCACCCCACTCCGGGGTCTTCCGCAGAGCCTGCTGCTGCTGTCACCCGGGGCTTAGAAAAAGCACAGCGGCAGCTAAGCAATGACCAGCTCTTAATCACCAGGAAAGTAGTACTGTTTTATTAGTACTAACACATTCTCATGCCCTGTGACACATTTCTGTTTTACATAGAGCTAATTCCGGAGAAGTTACTAGCTTACCCAGAGTCATTCGGTGTGGTAGCGGCAGAGTTGGAGCGAATTCAGTTCTTTTCAACCAGTATTTTATGAACACTTATCCTATCGCCAGACCCTGTATTGTTATAGGTTGCATGGTGTATGCCATCTGCTTCTGATCTTTGTCTTGTCTGTGACCTTTGGCGTATCCTGTCAGACACATTCCGCTGGTGAACAGCGAAATTGGAAATGTGTTTTCTATTCGTTTGGAATTACCTTCTTTGAATCCAGAACTGACATTTTGTACTTGGATTCAGTCTTGCAAATTTGTTAACAGCCAACACAGAGACATATCAGGTTCCTATGATTGGCTCCTAGAAAGTACATATGTAAAAGAATTAGTGGTGTGTTTTTTTTTTTTTTTTCTTGTTCCCCACCTACCCCTGTAATATTACTTTACTGTATCATCTGCTTCTTGTTTAATCCCTGGAGTCTAGTACAGTGTATGGCCTTTGTGTGTGTGTGTGTGTGTGTGTGTGTGTGTGTGTGTGTTTTACAAAGGGATTTTTTTTTTTTTTACAAAGGGATTTTTAACCAATATTAAACCAAGCAGAATGTTTGCTAGTTGAATGAATGCTTATAGAATTTCCTCATTTCACCCCTACAATCCTCCGAGGTGGGATTGTCTCAAGCATGCAAGGAACTGGAAAGCATAATAAAGGGAGCTAGAATCTAAGAAACACAGGACTCCTGATTGTAAAGCCTGTGCTTTTCACTGCCAGCCTTCCTGTGTGTGTGTGTGGGGGGGGGGGGGGGGGAGATGTGAAGAAGAATCATTTCCAATATCTCTTAAAATATATCAGAACAAATAATCAATTTTTATATATGAAATAATTTGCTATTTTGTATCAGGCCAGGTGCTGTTTATAGGCTAAGGTGACTTACTCAAGGTCACATGGCTAGTGGTAGAACTAGCTCTGATATTTTCCATTGCTGCCTCCAAGTGATGACTTGAGACCACAAAAGTACATGGAATGTACTGCATGTAAGCCTTGTGAAATCTAAATAAACTGTGTATTGTACCAATTTAAACAAAAAGGAAGAAAAATTTATTTCTTAATAATACACACAGCACCCAAACAAAGTAAATATTTGTAAAAGCCCATGGAAAAGAGGAGCTAGGTTTGAAAAGCTATTAGATTATTTGCTGAATGTTTCACATAGGTTGAGACAATCCATCTGATGAGTTTCCTTAGATGATTGCTTAAAATAGATACTCACCCTTCTAAAATGAACAGAGAAGTTTCCAATTTACCTGCTCTTCTCTTGTATAAGAGTAAAAGAATTGAATTTGTGGAGGCTAGATTTTAATAGTGGATATCTGTGTTATCAAAACACATTTTAGGTTACTTTACTTGTATTGAAAATATGTGATTTAAAAGTAAAGTTACAAGATAAAAATTAGGCTTGCATTTTTGTGGAGTAAAGTTGTATATTGTGGGTTTTTTTGTATATTGTGGTATTTTTTTTAAATTCATTTATGCCTTTGAGATATGTATCAACTATATGAGGATAAAAGTCCAAAAATTTCATTTTTTAAATGCTTAAGTACCGAGTGATAGGAAATAAAAATATTAGACGGCAAAAGATGTTGAGTACCACTTTAGCAATAGTGCTCATTTTTAGGAAAGACTTTTCATTCCTTGGCACTGTACAAGAATTTCTATTTTTGTTTCACTTTGTTTTCCCCTCCTTGGCTATTTAAAAGTATAGGAGTCAATTATGTCAGTTTGGCTTCAGCAGTGGGTCCTATTTCTGCAGAAGCTCGCCGGTGTCACATTAGTCTGATGTGGCTTTAAGTATTTGGTATGGCTCCAGATGGTGCCTCCATTTGATAAATTGGAGTTATCTTTACCCTGGGCTTGGATTAGTATTATCTCTTCACGGTGGCACTGGATAGCACTAAGCCCTACCTAGAAAGGGTGTCCTAGAAAACCTGATTTTTTTTCATTGTTCTTGGGACTGAAGTGGGACTTAAAAAGATCTGTGTAACCCCGAACTCCAGAACCAAACTATAGTAAGTTATGTGTGTTTGATTTATTTTCTGTTCCTTGTTAAGCCAGGTGTTTTCAGCAAGGGATATACTGGCTCTAGATTTGGAGTACTAACTTTTTTTTTTTTTTAATTTATCTTTATTGTTGAAAGTATTACAGATGTCCCCTTCCCCCCATTGACCTCCTCAACCCCACCCGCAGACCTTCACTACACTATGGTCTGTGTCCTTGGGTTATGCATATAGACATAATATTAGTTCTTTGCTTAATCTCCACCCTATCAATCCCCCACTCCACCTCTGCCTTACCTCTGGAGTGCTCTTTTATGGCCTATATAACGTGAGATTAAAGTGATCTGGAAGGTTGGCTTTTATTTTTTATTTTTATTTATTAAATTATTATCTGTGTACATATTTTAACATTGACCCCCCACATATCCTCCCTCCCCAGAGTTTTGTGTCCATTAGTTGTACTTATATGCATGTATACAAGTGAAGGTTGGCTTTTCTAATATAGGGTTGAAAATTAGAAATAACTAAATTTCATAGTACTTTACAAAATATTTGAAGAGTTCAGTACACTCAGCTTCTTTCTCATTTCCTTTGCAACTTTGCTTTTAAAAATATATTTTTAGCTTTTCGGCCAGAACCTCCATATTCCAGTAAATTGTGAAAATGACTAACACAGAAGGAAAGAGGAGAAGTACCTGCTATATGTTCTCTAGGCCTTTTAGAAAATATGGAGTTGTTCTTTTGGCCACATAACATGCGAATCTACTAGGTGATACTGTGGACATCAAGGGAATGGGCAGTGTTCAAAAAGGAATGTCCTACAAATGCCACCCAGCATGCAGTGGGCATTGTTGTGAACAAAAAAGTTAAAGAATTTTAACTTTTTAACTTGCCAAAAGAGTTTATGTATGTATTGGACATATTAAGCACTCTGAGAACCAAGATAACTTCCTGAAATGTGTGAAGGAAAGTGATCAGAAAAAGAAGGAAATCAAAGAGAAAGGTACCTGGGTTCAACTGAAACTCAGCCTGCTTCACCCAGAGAAGCACGTTTTGTCAGAACCAAAGGAAAGGAGCCAAAGTTGCTGGAACCCATTCCCTATGAATTTATGGAATAAGTGGAGGGTGGGAAAAAAGATTTCTGTGCTAATAAAATATGTAATTAAAGAAAACTTGGTGTCCTAGAAAAGATAGGTAGGTAGGTAGATAGATAGATAGATAGATAGATAGATAGATAGATAGATAGATTGATATAGATTTCAGAGAGAAAGGGAGAGGGAGAGAGAGATGGAGACATCAATGATGAGAGAGCAATCAGCTGCCTCCTGCTATCCTACCACTGGGGATCGAGCTGGCAACCTAGGCATGTGCCCTGACTGGGAATCAACCATGATCATGACCTCCTGGTTTAAAGGTCAATGCGCAACCACTGAGTTACACTGGCTAGGCACAACTTTCTCCTTTTTAAAAAAAGCATTTGGGTGCTTTTTTTTTTTTGCTTTTTTCCCTCACCTGAGGATATTTTCCCATTATTTTTAGAGAGAGTGTAAGAGAAAGAAAGAGAAATATTGATGTGAGAAAAACATTGATTGGTTGCCTCCTGCATGCATCCCAACTAGGGCCCAGACCAGGGAGGAGCCTGCAATCCAGGTATATGCCCTTGACTGAAATCAAATCCAGGAACCATTGGTCCACAGCCATGTGCTCTATCCATTGAGCCAAACCAGTTAGGGCAGACTTTCTTTTATATGTTTGTCTTGTTTTTATCTATTAACAACCTAGAAGAATAGTGCCAAGGAAAATGGATGTCTCATAACCAGTTTAGCACTTCTTTTTTTTGAGAGGGAGAGAGATAGAAAGCTAGAAACACCGATGAGAGAGAGTCATCGATCAGCTGCCTCCTGCACACCCCGCAACCAAGGCACATGCCCTTGACCGGAATCGAACCTGGGTCCCTTCAGTCCCCAAGCCGACGCTCTATCCACTGAGCCAAACCGGTCTCAGCTCAGTTTAGCACTTCTTACTGTGAAATGTGAGTGCTGGAATTTGGGGTTCTCTCTAACACTAACATGGGATCTGCTTATAGCCATTGATGCCATAGATGTTGTGGAGGAAGACATTGACCCCTTCCTTTTCCTGCCACAGTAGAGAAAATAAGTGGCCTGTAATACTCCCAAACGACTATGAAGTCCTGTGTTATCATGACAGTCACTGTTCTACTGCAGTTTAATAAATGTACACAAAATGTACTACTGCTATTTTTTTAAACCCAGAATGACCCAAGGAATAAAATAATTAAAAGCATCTATCATCTCTTAGAATTGTCTTTCCTTATGCTCTAGAACACATGTGTCAAACACAAGGCCTGCTGGCCAAATCCGTCCCGCCAGGCCTTGCAATGTGGCCCGCACCGCGCTGTCATCACTGCACTCCGCTGCGTTTCCATCACAATGACAGTTTATGACTGTTCAGTAAACCATTCGGCCCGCAATTTAGGCTGGATTTTAGATTTTGGCCCCTTCTCTGATTGAGTTCGACACCCCTACTCTAGAAGCTCCCTGAATATAGTTACATATCTAAATACTAGAGGCCCATTGCACGATATTCCTGCAAGAATAGGCCTCTGGCTTCAACTCTCCAGCAAGTCCCCACTCCCCACCCCAGCCACCCAGGAGCTGGCAAGTCCCCACTCCCCAGCCGCCTGGAGCCTGCAAGTCCTTGCCTCTGTCTGGAGCACCACTCCAGTAGCTCCCTCCGCTGCCCCCCTTCCCCTCATAGCAGGCTTCACATGGTCTGCGCCTGAATATGCAAATCAAATGCCATATTTGTTGTGTTGATTTGCATATTCACTCTTGATTGGCTGTGGGCATAGCAGAGTAATGGTTAATTTGCATGTTTCTCTTTTATTGGGTAAGACATAAAAGAGTTGGCTTCCTATTTGAAAAATGGAGCACTAATTCAGAATGTTGGTAATTGGGTAAAGAGTAAACTGTTCCAGCTGAAACCGGTTTGGCTCAGTGGTGTAGCATCGGTCTGTGGACTGGGGGGTCCCAGGTTCGATTCCGGTCAAGGGCATGTACATTGGTTGCGGGCACATCCCCAGTGTGGGGTGTGCAGGAGGCAGCTGGTCGATGTTTCTCTCTCATCGACATTTCTGGCTCTCTATCTCTCTCCCTTCCTCTCTGTAAAAAATCAATAAAATATATTAAAAATAGGTGTTTTGCAAGTATTTTCTCACAGTCTTTGGCTTGTTTTTTCATTTCCTAATGGAGTTTATTTTTAATAAATGTTCACTGAATAAATCAATTTCTTTAAATACATAGAATATTAGCTATATTTTCTTATTATACTGTTACTGGACTTCTTTGAGTGTTAATAGTTTTGCTTTTTACACTTAGCTCTCTAATCCTAATCCACATACGTGGAATTTTTTGTGTCTACTAAGTGTGAAGTGTTGGGAAGTTTAAATGAGAACATGTGCATTTATGTGTGTAGTTTTCTGAATGGTTCCTGGCAAATAATACAAAACTGTATAAGTTTTAACCACTACTATCTTTACCCAACAAATACTGATTTTTTTTTTCTGAGTCACTGTGCTGAGAATGGGAAGGAAGATCCTACACTCAATAATTTACAGTTTAGTGAAACTTGGGTTCAACTTCATCTTTTCTACTTTTATCTCAGTTCTTTCTTTTTCGGTATCTTAATTTTTCTACAGTTTCATTGAGATATGATTGATATACTAGTATAGCATTGTGTTAAACTGTATAAAATAATTATCTGATATATGTATATATTGTGAAATGATTACCAATAAGTTTAGTTAAGTTTTTCTTGTGATGAGTGCTTTTAAGGATCTATAAGCTAAATAATTCCTAGGGATGTAATATGTAGCATGGTAACTATAATTATACATACTATCTTATATATATATTTGAAAGTTACTAGGAGTTACTGACTGTTGCCTAAAATAAAATATTTTAAAATCATTTACAATTTTGTTTCATAGATGTTGGTTACTACTGATGGGTGTGAGTAAGTTAGATGTTCTATACCGGAGACTTCTCCTTACAAAACTTTTTATCAGAGGATGGGGAAAGCCAGAGGACCTTAAGAGGTAAACATTTTTTTCCTGAATGCTTTTTCTGACTTTGTTTTAGTAAACATTTAAAATTTTATTTCACTTTTAAAGTTCTTTGCTATAAATATAAAGTGATTGGAAAATTAACTATTAATATAAAAATGAAATTATTTCCTTTTCTATTTTCTCCCTTTAATTATTTCTCTTGTTTTAACCCACATAATCATAAATTGAACTAGTTTAAAAAAGTCATTCAGTTGTGAAAATAAAGAGCTCTCAGAAATAAAAGTTAGATTATTAACTTTAGTAATTTTAAATTGATTTAGAGTTTCCAGAGACTGAGCATTTCTGGGTAAATTGAAATTGTAATGGCCCTGACCGGTTTGGCTCAGTGGATAGAGTGTTGGCCTGCAGACTCAACGGTCCCGGGTTCGATTCCAGTCAAGGGCATGTACCTTGGTTGTGGGCTCATCCCCAGTAGAGGTGTGTAAGAGGCAGCTGATTGATGTTTCTCTCTCATCAGTGTTTTGGGTTTTTTTTAAATATATTTTTTGATTTTTTTTAGAGAGAGGGAAAGAGAGTGAGAAACATCGATGAGAGAGAATCATCTATCAGCTGCCTCTTGCACAACCCCTACTGGGGATGTGCTCACAACCAAGGTACATGCCCTTGACCAGAATCGAACCTGGGACCTTTCAGTCCACAGGCCAACACTCTATCCACTGAACCAAACTGGTTTCAGCTCATCGATGTTTCTAACTCTCTATCTCTCTCCCTTCCTCTCTGTAAAAAATCAATAAAATATGTATTTTTAAAAAAAGAAACTGTAATTACTATGAAGCTAGGTTATACTGTAGCTTATGGGAATATATGGACTTAAAAATAAATTTTTAAGATTTGTGCCTTTAATTTTGAGTCTTATATATGTTAATTACTTTCTGAATAATGATATTTATCACATCTTTCTGAGATAAAATGTTCAGCTTGCAAAAGACTAACAACTTACTCTTTTTCTTTGTTGATTAAAATTAAATTTTAGCATATTTTATGACCTGGACTTGGTAATTTTTACTCACTATTCATCAGCTTTAACATATTGCTATACTAATTTTTTTTTTTCCCCTTTTGTTCCTCTTTACTATAACAGACTCTTTGAATTCAGAAAGATAATTGGAAATCGAGAAAGATGTCAGAATCTGGTTTCAAGTGATTATCCAGTACACATCGATAAGGTAGTAAAATGAAGTAAATGTAATTATAGAAATTCTATTTTAACATAAACATGTGACAAGAATAGGTGGGGGGACAGGGGCAGGAAGATATTCACCTAAAAATTATATGCACATACGCATAATCTGTGGCAAAGGCAGGCAGGGGCAGAGTGGAGGAGGTCAATGGGAGGAAAAAGGAAAACATTTGTAATACTTTTAACACTAAAGATAAATTTTTAAAAATAATAGGTTGAATGTTAAGAGTATAACAATAGACACTAGAACATAAATACACAATATAGGTTTTTCATTTAATATTTTTAAAATGCTCTGAGTGTTCTAACTGGATGGTTATAATAATTAAATTCATTTATGCTTAGGAGCATATTCTTGCCTAAATATAAGAAAACTAGAGGCCCAGTGCATGGATTTGTGCACTGATGGGTTTTCCTCTCCCTGACCTGTGGGGATCAGGCTGAAATCAGCTCTCCAATATCCCCCGAGGGGTCTTGGATTCCAAGAGGGCACAGGCTAGGCCGAGGGACCCCACCAATGCACAATTGGGGCTAAGGAGAGACCACAGGAGAGCTCCAGGGCATGTCCGGCCTGCCTTGCCCAGTTCTGATCAAGTTAACCTACCAGTTGGAACATCTTTTTGAACCTCATTTTTTTATCTTTAGGCTTATGGGGGTTAAAGTAAATTATTCAAGTTTTCAAAAAAAATTGGCAGTAACACAGGAAAGTACTCTAGTTGAAGAATCACTACATGAGAAGTTATTAGCAAAAAGAACTTAATATCCATTCCTCTCTGTAAAAAATCAATAAAATATATTTGAAAAAAACAATAAAAAGAAAAATATTTTAAACAAAATAACATCAGCCCTGACTGGTTTGGCTTTGTGGATAGAGCATCAGCCTGCGGACTGAAGGGTCCCAGTTTTGATTCCAGTCAAGGGCATGTATGTTGGTTGCTGGCACATCCCCAGTAGGGGGTGTGCAGAGGCAGCTGATTGATGTTTCTAACTTTCTATCCCTCTCCCTTCCTCTCTGTAAAAAAAGGAATAATATATATATATTTTTTTAAATAACATCAGGGAAATGGTATGGGATATATAGTTAATTGCTGAGAAAAATGATAGAAAGAAATACTATAAAATTAGAGAAGTTGAAATGTACAGCTTATCCTTGAATAGTGTCTATTTGTTATAATGTTAATGAGATGCTGTAGGGACTTAACTCTTACTTACCTATCAATTAGCCAATGGTAAAATTGGTTTCCTTGTAAAGTCACAGAACCTATCAAATATGTTAAGTGAGGAACTATTGTATTTGAAATAGTTTTGTTTTTAAGCAACCACATGACTTTCTGGAAAAAAAAAATATATATTTTATTGATTTTTTTACAGAGAGGAAGAGAGATAGAGAGTTAGAAACTTTGATGAGAGAGAATCATCAATCAGCCGCCTCTGCACACCTCCTACTGGTATGTGCCCGCAACCACATGCCCTTGACCGGAATCAAACCTGGGACCTTTCAGTGTGCTCTAGCCACTGAGCCAAGCCGGTTTTGGCTGGAAAATATTTTTCTTTTTTTTTTAAATATATATTTTATTGATTTTTTACAGAGAGGAAGAGAGAGGAATAGAGAGTTAGAAACATCGATGAGAGGAATCATCGATCAGCTTCCTCTTGCACACCCCCTACAGGGGATGTGCCCGCAACCAAGGAACATGCCCTTGACCGGAATCGAACCTGGGACCACTCAGTCCGCAGACCGAAGATCTATTTACTGAGCCAAACCGGTTTCGGCTGGAAAATATTTCTAAGTTTATGAACTTGGGCACTACTGGGAGGGGTTACAAATGGTTGGGCTTCCCATTTCTCATTGCCATTAACCAAAGTAACTCTACTTTCATCTCTTTCATATATGTGATAACTTCAGAAGATTTCATTTTTCAAAAGTGTTCCACCACTAAAGACAAAATTTTAATTGGAAATTCCTCCTCTACACCACCTAAATGTTACTTCTGAATTTAGAACATTTCTTGCTCAATTTTTACTAAAAATATCTGTTTTTTTTTTATTCTCCTATTGAGGCCTGCAGACTCAAGAGTCCCAAGTTTGATTCCAGTCAAGGGCATGTGCCTTGGTTGTGGGCACATCTGCGGTGGGGGGGTGCAGGAGGCAGCTGATTGATATTTCTCTCTCATCAATGTTTCTAACTCTCCCTCTCTGTAAAAACATCAATAAAATATAAATAAATAAATAAGTAAGTAAGTAAGTAAGTAAGTAAATAAATAAATAAATAAATAAAATGCACTCCAATCCTGATTAAAACATTCAATTTAGAACTTAGGTCCATAAAAGGTTCCTAAAATAATTTTTGGAAGAACCATGAGAGTACAATCAGATCAGGAATACCAGAACAGAAAAAGTGGTAAGTAACAACTGTTTTAGTCATATATCAATGGGTGTTGTAAAGTTGCACTATGATCAACAGAGCATGCTATTGGTTCAGAAATAAAAGATGGGCTAATAAAGGATTAAAAATAATATGCCATAATTTATGCAAACTTATTTCATAGTAAGTCAGGTTTTTTGTTTTTGTTAATTCTCCCTCCCCCCAGGATATTTTTTGCATTGATGTTTTTAGAGAGAGTGGAAGGAGGAGGTGAGAGAGACAGAAAGAAACATCTGTGAGAGAGAGACACACATTGATGATTTGCCTCCAGCCCACAAGTCCAACCCAGGTACATGCCCTTTAAATGGGTATCAAACCTGAGACCCTTCAGACCAGAGGCCTACGTTTCTATCCACTGAGCCAAACCACGTAGGGTGAATTTGTGTTTTAAATAAAGCTAGACAAGGTATGTTTGTATTTTGTTTTTTTCTGATTTTAATGAAAATATTTGGTGCTTTAATGCTAATTTAATTTTTATTACTGGCTTGATTTAAATAAAAATTTATTTAAAAAAACAACTATTTGCCCTAGCTAGTTTGGCTCAGTGGATAGAGTGTCGGCCTGTGGAATGAAAGGTCACGGGTTCAGTTATGGTCAAGGCCACATAACTCAGTTGCAGGCTCCTCATAGACCAGGGCAGTGGTCAGGGCATGAAGGAGGCAACCAATCAATGTCTTTCTCTCACATCTACAATACATTTCTGTCTTTCCCTCTCTCACTTTCTCTAAAAATCAATGGAAAAATATCCTTGGGTGAGGATTAAAAAGAAAACACACACACACACACACACACACACACACACAAACAAATAACTATTTGAGGGAAGAAAAGTTTAGATACTATATATTAGCAAATTCCTTTAACACATATATAAATATCTTATTTCTCCTTATGTGATGTGCGGGGGGGCCTGATACGAAAAGAGAGATGAACGAACTGGTTCTAAGTGGAGGTGGCCAGGGATTGAGAAAATAAAGAAGATGCAGAAATAGATTTAAAGCTGGGAGCTAGGTGGACACCATTCTCTCTGATGGAGAGGCAGCGACTCTGAGCCTCGCAGCATGTTTATTTTTATATCCCAAAAATCTAGGAAGTAATACCAAAACTTAGGATCAAAGGAGCTTATTTGCATTTTTAAGTAGGCCCTAGCATTACTGGATTTACATATCTAGACTCACCCCTGCTGAAACCTGGACATAGGTAAGTCAGAAACTGAATAATATACCCTGTCCTCTTGAGGTGGGGTATAACCATGGGCATGTAACCATTGCCTCGTGCTCAGCTGACAATTTAAAGAAATGTCCATGTGCCTTCCCAGGGGCCCTCTACAGTGATGTGTTGACGTATTACATCAGTAGATTGCCTAAAAATATTTTAACATATTTTATATTAACCCTTATTTGATTGTAGTAAATTATTGTTACAATTTTGTAAATTGTTTATATGTTTACTTTTATATTATCAAGTTATCCTAATGGTATTTTATTTGGCATTATTATATTATTGTATATCATTGGGTAAATGAGGCTTAGTTATAGTTTATTTTTCCAACTAGACTGTAGTAAAGGATATTGAAGGAAAAGGAATGTGTATGAATCAGAGCCAGGTCCTCAGCGGCAAAAGCAATTCATAGTAGGCACTGGAGAAAAAGGTTTTTACTTATGGAAATTTTTTATAAAAAAGCATCCTATCTAATAAAGAGGGAATATGCAAATTGACCATCATGTTGTCACATATATTTTGGAGCCCATAGCCACAAGATGGCGGCACCCAGTCCCCCCAACTCCGCTGGAGTCCCCAGTCCCAGGAAGTGGCAGGCAAGCTGCCCCACCTGTTCTTTCACAGAAAATGGGTTGCCTCAAAAATTTGTTAAGCTTCTTAGGACAAAAAGCATTCAAAATCTTAGAAAAGGGAATTCCAATATTTATAAAAGTTTGAACTAGACAATTCAAGGTTACTTCCACTACAACCTTCCATGATTTTGTGATACATTCTGAATTCACATAGTACCAGCTGTATTGTATGTTAAACAGATATTATTTAACAGAGTGGCCGTTATTAAAACAATTTATAAAACCACACTGTATGTCAAGCACATTCTGTGTGGTTTTCCTAATGGCTGGAGTTAATACCCCTAAGCAGTCAGCCATCCCCTTAGGGCTCCCAGATTGGAAAGGGTACAGGCCGGTGCATGAACACCTCCCCATGCGTGAATTATATGCACCATACCTCCAGTAAATCTATAACAGACCAAGGTATCTTCGTTTACATGTATAAATCTTAGTTTTGTTTTTCTTTAAGATTGAAGATCAGTCAGACTGTAAGATCCTAGATGGACACTTTGTTTCCCCTATGGCCCACTATGTGCCTGATATCATGCCAGTTGAATCTATTATTGCAAGGTAAGAATTTTTATTCAGAAAGTTAAAGTACTAAGTTGTTTATGTTAATTTAAATTATAACAATATCAATGCCGTCTTATTTGAAATTACTTAATTATAATAATTATGTGACATTCCCATTATACATGGGGTGGGTGGAGAGTGAAATTATAGAGCTTTATTATTTTGACATATTTAGTATGCATTTGAACTTAAGTTGTTATCCACTGAAAATATACTATATAATAAAAACCTAATATGCTAAGTGTCCAGTCGACCAATAGGCTGTTCAGCCAATCAAAGTGTAATATGCTAGTGTTATGCTAAGGCCTCTCAACCACTCACTATGACGTGCACTGACCACCAGTGAGCAGATGCTCTGAGCAGTAGGTTAGCTTGCTGCTGGGGTCTGGCCAATTGGAACTGAGTGAGATGGGCCTATCATGCCCTGGAGCCCCGCTCCTCCTTCCCTCTCCTCTCCCTCCTTCCCCTCTAGGCTGGACAATCTCCCATTTCCCTCCCTGGCCCCAATCATGCACTGGTGTGGTCCCTTGGCCTGGCTATGCCCTCTCACAATCTGGGCCCCCCCTAGGAATGTTGGAGAGCTGGCTTTAGCTAGATCCCACAGGCCAGACCCAAGGACCCCCTCAATAAGTGCACAAATTTGTGCACTGGGCCTCTAGAACTGTTACAAATATTTTTTGTATAAGTTTCATGGTAATCACAGAACTAAAATTAATAATGTCTGAACAAAAGAGAAAGATAAAGAAATATAATTATATCACTACAGAAAGTCATCCTATATAATAAAAGAGAAACATATAGCCCTGACTGGTTTGGCTCAGTGGATAGAGCATCGGCCTGCAGACTAAAGTGTCCCAGGTTCGATCCCAAGGGCATGTACCTTGGTTGCAGCACATCCTCAGTAGGGAGTGTGCAGGAGGCAGCTGACCAATGTTTCTCTTTCATCAATGTTCCTATCTCTTTATCACTCTTCCTTCCTCTCTGTAAACAATCAATAAAATATATTTAAAAATTAAATAAGTAAAACTCATGAGGAGCCAAGGGCATGGGAAAACCCCCTTTTAAAAGAAAAAAAATTTGAGAAACCAAGATGGCGGCATAAGTTGTTGCGCCATACAGCAGGGCTGCACAGCTTAGAGCTGGAGCTGTACCCCGTTCCCCTGGAATGTTACACGACCCAGGGGACTGCCAACCAGGACAGACTTGACCGGGTCCGGGCTGAGCTGACAGGGATATTGATGGAGTTAGGCAGCCCAGGACCATCCTGCTTGCCACCAGGCCCTGTGGCCATAGGGAATATTATGACGTGGCATTTTCATGACTGGATCCTGTGCTATTCCCCTGTAATGACTCTACTCAGTGGGTGCACCTGAGCTTCTTTCTGGGCCTTTCAAAGCTGAAACCTCAGACTAGGGTGCATTGTACAGAGGCCACCTCATGTTTCAGGTTCATGATCAGTGTGAATGGGGAAAGGGAGGGACACAGCCATGGTACAGGATTGCAGGGACATAAGATGGGGAGTTCATGGGATCTCAAAGGCAGTGTCCTGCAATCAGAAACATGAATCTCATTTGCTTGGGGAGGGTCAGAATTTGGGCTTGAGCTTCTTGTGTGGGAGTGAATCCTGGGGTGGATGATTGTAAAAAGATGATCAGAAATAAAGACAATTTCAAAGGGGAAAAAAATGATGACCAGAATATCTGGTGAATATAATAGAATCAGGGGCATAGAAAGGGAGTGGACTGACAATCCTTGGGGGGAAAGGGATATAGGGGGTGTGGGAAGAGACTGGACAAAAATCATACACCTATGGATTAGGACAGTAGGGGGAGTTGGTAAGGCCATGGGGAGGTGGGAACTGGGTGGAGGGGTGCTATGGGGGGGGGGGGGGGGAGAGGATCAGCTGTAATAATCTGAACAATAAAGATTTAAAAAGAAATAAATAAAATAAAAGAGAGAAACATAAATTGACCATACCTCTGCTACGTTCATCAGCCAATCAAGAGTGACTATGCAAAGTAAATTGACAAATATGGTGGGTTAATTTGCATACACAGGCGCCAAGCGGCTGGGTCCTAGGAACATTCTTGTGTCCCAGGCCGCTCCTAGCCTATAGGCCCGTGCATAGGCTGTGAGTGGCCGAGGTTACAGAATGCCCCCAGCCACTCTGGGTCTTTGGGCACAGGTGCCAAGCGGCTGCGGGCGGCGCGATTGCTTATGTTTGTGCCCCCAGCCAGGCACCCACAACGTGGAGCTGGCTGCTGGCCTTAGGGTCATGTGCAGACCCGGTGGCCACTGCATGTCCAGAGTCTGCACATTCCCCCCAGGCTGGCACCCACAACACAGGGCTAGCTGCTAGACTGGGGGGGGGGGGGGGCGCGCGTGTTCCCCCACCCCCACCCCTGGGCTGTGGGAACACATGCTCCTAGCCCAATAGACATAGTGCAGTGGGTCCTCTGCGCATGAGCTACAGAGGAAACACCTTTTCTTTTTGTTTTAAATATATTTTATTGATTTTTTACAGAAAAGAGGGGAGAAGGTTAGACACTTGGAAACATCAATGGGAGAGAAACATCGATCAGCTGCCTCCTGCACACTCCTTACTGGGGATGTGCCCCCAACCAAGGTACATACCCTTAACAGGAATCAAACCTGGGACCCTTCAGTCTGCATGCCAACACTATCCACTGAGCCAAACCAGTTCAAACATAAACACCTTTTCTGACCGCTCATTTGCTAAGTTCCCTGTACACCGCCACTTGTACTGTTCTTGGTAACTTGGGTTGTAAGAATCCAAGAAGGTGATCCAGGGTTTTTCCACCTCACACCTGGAGGAAAAAACAAAGGTCCGCTGCTGGAGGGCTAAGAAATGTCATATCCTGCCCTAGTTGGTTTGGCTCAGTGGATAGTCTCAGCCTGCCGACCACAGGGTCAGGTTTGATTCTGATCAAGGACATGTACCTAGGTTACAGGCTCCTCCTTGGCTGGGGCCCAGGTCAGGGCTCATACAGGAGGCAACCAATCAAAGTGTCTCACATTGATGTTTCTCTCTGTCTCTTCCTCTCTTCCACATTCTTGTAAAATCCATGGAAACATATCCTCAGGTGAGGATTAAAAGAAAGAAAGAAAGAAATGTCATATCTTATGAAAGACACATCTTGAAAATCCTAAAGGAAGTTGTCATTTTTTTGTGGTGAAGGGACTGGGGTCCGTGTTGATGAAAACATCTTGGTAGCTGAGGTGGCTGGCAGTGGGTGCAGCAGCGGGGTGATGGGGCTGGTGCCTTCTCCTGATCAGCCTGGTTGCCTCCCCCAGAGGGAGGCCTGATGTCTCCCAGTCTGAGAGAGGGGGTAGGCTGGGCTGAGGGTTGAATTTTGTGCACCCGGCCTCTATTCAAATTATAAACGAAGAGAAAAAAAATAAAGAAGATACTCATAAGGACAGGAAGAAACAATGAACAAAATGGCTATAGTAAGTCCATACCGATTAATCTCTTTAAATGTAAATGAGTTAAGTTCTCCAATGAAAAGAAGACATGGAATGGTTGAATGGATAAAGAAAAAAGACCCAGTGCAGCTAGCATGGCTCAATGGTTGAGCATTGACCTATGAGCCAGGAGGTCGTGATTCTATTCCCAGGCAGGGCACTTGCTCAGGTTGCTGGTTTGATCCCTAGTCCCCGGTGTGGGATGTGCATGAGGCAGCCAATCATTGATTCTCTCTTAACATTGATGTTTCTATCTCTCCCTCCTCCAACTGGGGATGGAGCCTGCAACCTGGGCATGTGCTCTGGCTGGGAATCTTTTTGGTGCATAAGGTAATGCTCAACCAAGCCACACTGGCCAGGGCAGAAAAGCAGTTCTTGTTGCCTGAGAATACAGTCACAACCTAAAGAGTACTGTTTTCTAAGACTTAATCATATACATTAATGTTTCTAGAATGAGAAAATTTTATTATGCATTTATAAAGTTGTGGTATTGAACAAGGTAAAAAATGATTACAATAAATTCTGTGTCTATATGATAATTGAGTATTTTACTATCCTAACATAAAGCAAATTTACAGTATCTTTGTTGCCTTTAGGCAAATATTAAATACTTAATTACAGTTTTAATATAAAAATTCTGAAGACTTTTTTCCTAAATAATTTAATTATTAAACTTTTAAGCATTGAAAGTTTGTATTAAAAGCCTTTAAAAGATAATTCAGTGAGGTGCTTTATTTTAAATAGGTTCCAATTTATTGTGCCTAAAGAATGGAATAGCAAATATAGACCCGTATGCATTCATCTTGCTGGAACAGGAGATCATGTAAGACTTTATTATAATATCTAATACCTAATTTGTCTACATATTGTCCTTATCAGATGTGATTATTATATTCTTTAAGTGTCATCTTTTCTTTCCGTAGCATTATTGGAGACGACGAACACTGATGGCTCGTCCTATGATTAAAGAAGCTGGAATGGCTTCTTTGTTATTAGAAAACCCTTATTATATCCTTTTGTGATACCTAGAAGTCTTTTCTCTTATGTATTTATAGATTTAGTCATCCAAAGGAATGATAGGTAATAGCCAACTTTTCTAAATCAGGTAAGCTTAATCATCAGTTCAAAAAATACTTAAGAGTAAAGTGAAAAATTACTTTTTAGATTAAAGAGTAGTCAGACTTTTAAAAAGCCTTTAAGCCTTTTGAAAACTAAAGTAAGGATTGTGTTTCTATTGTATAATAAACGTAAATGGTACTTCTGTTTCTTGTGAGACTTCTTTTATGCTGCATTTTAATATTAAGTCAAATGTTTGTTATTTAAATACTTTACAGTGCTTTACAGTTAAGTATCAGTTGAGGTTTAGAAGAGTTCTTAACTTAATTTTCAAGATGACGTCAGACTATGTCCAGAAGAAGAAACGAAACTGATGCACAAATATAATGAAATGCTCAACATTGCTGGTAATAAGAGAGATGTAAAGTTAAAGCAACAATTAACAAATATTTTAAAAACAAAACATAAAACTCATGAGTCTATTGTGAAATGGGCACTCTCATTACTGATTACTGAATATCAGCTCAACCCCTTGGGAAATTTTAACACATTGAATTAAGAGCCTTAAAAAGCTTCACATCATTCTGAGAAATTTATTTTAAGAATAACATACTAAAAAAAGAGAAAATAATAGAAAAGAGAAAAGATATCTGTATAACTTTATTTATAATAGTAAAACATTAGAAATAGCTTGAATGTATAACAATAGCAACATGGTTGAGAAAACTGGTTCATAATATTGTAATATTATGTAACTGGTTCTGTAATGTTTATTGTTCTACCACTTACTGCCTGTATGACCATGGACTTGTTAACCTAATATTTTAGAACATCAATATTTTTGTTGGCAATGGGAATAGTCTCTTAGGTTGTTCAGAGTATTACAGAGTTAATACTGTCTAGAACATTGCCTGGTAAATAATGTGTTCGGTTAGTATTTTTAAAGTTTACAGCAATGTATGTATTTATAGTGTAAAAGTGGGATATATAACTCTATGGTATGATCTAGGTATACAAAAAAAACAACCTAAAAACAAAACCTATTTAAAAGACTGTGGAAAAAAAATAATAAAAAAAAATAAAAGACTGTGGAAAAAGTACTAGGAAAAATACACCAAGATATTAATATAGTTGTCTTTAGATAAAGTAAATTTTTTCTAATCCTTTCTGTATTTTCTGAACTTTTTAAAATTGATTTTGGAGAGAATTGAACTTGGAAAGAGAGGGAGAGGGGGTGGGAGAGAGAGAGATCAATTTGTTCCACTTATTTATACATTCATTGCTTGCTTTCTTGTATGGAATCTGGAGATGGAACTCTCAGCCTTAGTGTATAGGGGTGATGCTCTAACCAGCTAAGCAACCCAGCCAGGGCTTCTAGGTATTCTATAATAATATAAATGAAAAATTCCAATAAACTTAAGTTGAAGACTATACAACCCAATGAATATACTAAAAACATTGAATTGTACACTTCAAATAGATAAATTGTTTAGCCCTGGCCAGTGTGGCTGAGTTGGTTTGAGCATCATCCTGTGTACCAGAGCGATCAGGGCACATACCTTGATTGCGGGTTCCATCCCCAGGGCGCATACAGGAGGCACCAATAGATGTCTCTCTCACATTAATGTAGGTGTGTTTCTCCTTCCTTTCCTCCCTCTCTAAAACATCAATAAAAATTCTTTAAAATAACTTGTTAGTCCCAAAAAGAGAAAAGAAAAAAAATTATTATCCCTGTCCTATGTCTTCAGTGGTTAGAGCATCTGCCCACAAACCATAAGGTTCAATACCTGATCAAGGGCGTGTATCTGGTATGCAGGTTTGATCCTGTGTGCATGAGGCAACCAGTCAGTGTGTCTCACATTGATGTTTCTTTATCTTTCTCCAACTCTTGCCCTCCCATTCACTCTCTAATCAAAATAATACCGATACTAATAAATTATTTAAAAAATAAAATAGTCCTATCCAGTTTGGCTCAGTGGATAGAGCGTCAGCCTGTGGACTCAAGGGTTCCAGGTTAGATTCTGGTCAAGGGCATGTACCTTGGTTGCAGACGCATCCCCAATTGATTAATGTTTTCTCTCTCATCAATGTTTCTAACTCCCTCTCCCTTTCTCTTCCTCTCTAAATCAATCAATAAAATATATTTAAAATAAATAAAAATTATAAAATAAAATTAAAGCTCTAAAAAAAAAAAGCATTTGAAAAACTTGAGAACTTCTAAGCATCATATTTCAGATAACTACAATATAAAATAGTTATTTCAGTATTAAGTTGTCTTCAACTTTAAGTTAATGTGTTTTGATACCAGAGAATATTTAATTATTTTAAAACTTTCTCTTTGACCCACAATATTAAATGGCTGCAGGAAACCCAAGGATCAAATGTAAGTATATATCATCTTATTTTTGCAGTCTTTATACTGAATTTTCAGCAACATTTAAGTTTTTGGTTAACCATTTCAAAGTTTAATCTCCAAGTGTTATTGTGGGTAAATTTCTTTTATAAAATTATAGTAGGAATGTTAACTTTAATTTTTACTTTAAGCTTTTTGCATTTTAAATGTATGGTAAAGAGATAAATTTTAATAGGTTGACTAAAGATATAATTTATTTGTAAAACTTTAACTGAAAAAATTATAAAACATGTTCCTTTTTAAAAGGAAAAGTACATTTATTTTGTGAAATTAAACTTATAATTTTTTTTAAACACTATTATTTTTATTCTTGCAATGAATAATATAGGTAAACTTTCTTTTCCTTGTCTTTTAAAATGACCAACTTTTGAAGGCAGTACTTTTTGCATTTTCATAATCTGTGTTATATTTAGTTTTGATTCATTCAAGAAATATTTGATCCTAGACACTGGGAAGACAGCAACAAAAAGACAAGGTCCTTACTTTCATAGAGCTTATATTCTAGTATGGGAGAGAGATAAAAATAAGATAATTTCATGTACTTATCAGTACCATAAAGAAATAAAGCAAGGCAATGGGATAAAGAGTAATAAAGTATGGGTGCAGGGATGGAGCAGTATTAGTTATGAGGACATGATGTAACAAGAAGGAGCCACTGGGGTGAAGACCTGGAGGAAGATCAGCCTCAGGGAAGGAAGAGTAAATGAAAAGCACAATGTGAGCAACAGGTTGGAGAGTAGTGCATGATGAGATCAGAAAGGTAGGCAACTCGGTTAGAAAGAGCCATGATTAGAATTTTACTGTAAGTACAGTGGGAAACCTCAGAGTACTTTAAGCAGAAATTAAAATGATAAGACCTATTGATAAATTCATTATTGTGGGTAATAAATCAGAAGTTCTGACTTGAACATATTTGTGATGTCTGTTGGATCTGCAAGTAGAGAAGTCAAATAGGGAGTTGGAAAGTGGTGGAAAGATCGGTTTAAAGTCACTTGTCTATGTGATCATGACATAAAAGAAGTCATGAAAGTGGGGTGTGATATAAGCAAACCTTATAAAGTGTGAGAACTATATAGTTTCCCTAGTGCAGACTTATTGTGAGAATTGTAATGTTTATAAAATATCCTTTTACATTTATGTACCCAGAAAATGTAATAATGCTCAATGTATTTAATTTTTCTCAAATAATTCATCATAAGAAAGAAATAGCTTGCAATTTAAATAATAATAAACAATTACCTCTTTTAAAATATCTTAAGCCTGTTTTTGTCAAAAGTGGTTAAATAATTTGAGACTGGGTTTATTGTTATATATAGCTATTATCTCAAAACCTCACATTGTTAACTTTTTTAAAGAGCAAACTGAGTTGGACCTAAGAATTCAAACTTCTGTATCAGATGAAAATAATCAGGGGAATTCTGTAATCATAAATAGCAAATTAGAATGAGGATAGGAAATAAATACAAGGATAAATTAGTTATTTTATAATGAAGCATGAGTATGATCTGTTTTGATATAGGATAACATCCTATATAATAAAAGGCTAATATGCAAATTGTCCCCTCCACTGGAATTTGACCAGGAGGCAGGGCAGGCTAGCCAACCTCCCATTACCTCTTTTTCCAGGTCAGCACAGGCAGGCAGGACCCCACCTGTGCACAAATTCGTGCACCGTGCCTCTAGTGTGTTCCATAAAGACAAGTCCTGCCTTATAAACATGGAGCCCTGAGAGGATGTGGGAGGACACTGGTCATGATTCTGTTAACAACTTGGCATTCCTGTGGCACCTTATTCTTTTTTTTTTTCTTTTTTTTTAATATATTTTATTGATTTTTTTTGCCCCCCTCCCTCCCTCCCACACATCCCCTCCCTCCCCAGAGTTTTGTGTCCATTGGTTGTACTTATATGCATGTATAAAAGTCCTTTGGTTGATCTATTATCTCCCCCAGATCTTCCTCCCCTCCCCGCTGTAATTTGACAGTCTACTTGTTGATATACTGTCTCTATATCTATCTTTTGGTTCATCAGTTTATAATGCTCTTTATTATCCACAAATGAGTGAGGTCATGTGGTGTTTCTCTTTCATTGATTGGCTTATTTCACTCAGCATGATGTTCTCCAATTCCATCCAGGTTGCTGCTAATGATGAGAATTCCTTCTTTTTTATGGCAGCATAGTATTCCATTGTGTAGATGTACCATAGTTTTTGGATCCAATCATCAGCTGACGGACACTTAGGATGTTTCCAAATTCTGGCTATTGTAGATTGGCACCTTATTCTTTGCATATTATTATTCTATGTAGGCATATAGTGAATGACCATTGATAAAGTGAATTTTTGTACACTTTGGCAAGGTTTCATTCATCTATAATAGTAACCAACTATGTGCATGTCTTCATAAATTGTGTATTTAAGATTTTGGTAATACATGAAACTAGTATTAGGTTAAACTCTAACATTGCTTTTTAAAAAGTGTTATGCTTTTAAGTTCTATTATAATCAGTTCTTTCTAAGAGGGGACAGCTATAAATTTGTTTTTCCTTATACAGTCATGGTAATTTAACAAAATTGGCAGTATATGAAATACTATTTTCCCATAGGTATTTTAAGTTTTTAAAGTGACATCAAATAAATAAGATTCTTTTCTGATCTTGAAAATAGTAAAATAGTTGAAATTCAAGAAAGATTATATGCTAGAGAGCATATATAACTTAAAAAATAAGTTATGTGATTAATATGTAGAACTATATTAGCAGCACTCTAATTACATCAACTCAGTCCATTGTTTTACTCAACTACTATTCCCTTTAAAAGAAAAAGATAAACCTTGACTGCCTGTTGTAAATTTTCACATATGAAAATGTAAATATATTTAAATTTTTTTTTTTTTTTTTTTTTTTTTTTTTTGTGATACTAGAAGGTCCAGCTTAAAAAACGTGTCTGACCTATTTGTGATGGGAGGAGCTCTTGTTTTAGAATCTGCAGCGCTCTTGCACTGGCTGGAGAGGGAGGGTTATGGACCTTTGGGAATGACCGGAATATCCATGGGAGGACATGTAAGCCTTTCATTTCAGATGGTATTTACTTGTGATTGTGTTTATAAGGTGGGAAATCCAGTTACTTTTAAAATTCACTTTATGTATAGAATTTGGTGAAAGAAGAAACAGATTCTAAACTTTCATTCCAGTTATAAAATAATGATGTTATTTTTTTGGTATGATTTATGTAGACTCTGATTATACTTATTCTATTAAACTTTTTCTTAAACAGTTTTTCTCCACACCCTAGTGATCTTCCTCAATCTGATCTCCGCTCTGTCCTACCTAACACCTGCCAAAGTCTTGCTCTTGCACTGGCTGTAACTATGCCAGGTGCTGGCACCCTTCTGGTGCCCCTCCAGTCCCTTCTACCTAGCTGAATAATAGCTTGCTCTTCTGGTTCCAATTTGGAGGTTACTTCCTATGACAAGCTCTCCTGACTCCTAGCCTTACTCCAGACTATACTTCATCTCTCATTACTACTTATTTAGCAGTCAGTTTGTTCCATGAAGCAGTAGATTAACTGAGGGCCAGGAATATGCTCTGGTTCATTATGTGGACTGAGTAGTCATTCAGTACATTAAAAAACAGATTTGCTGTAAGTTATTTGACTTATAAAATTAAGTTCAAAAACTTACTCAAGCCAAAACCGGTTTGGCTCAATGGATAGAGCGTCGGCTTGGGGACTGAAAGGTCCCGGGTTCGATTCTGGTCAAGGGCATGTACTTTGGTTGCGGGCATATCCCCACTAGGGGGTGTGCAAGAGGCAGCTGGTCGATGACTCTCTTTCATCGGTTTCTAACTCTCTCCCCCACTTCCTCTCTGTGCAAAATCAATAAAATATATTTAAACAAAAAACAAAAAACAAAACTTACTCAAATTCAAAGGGGTTACCAAAGAGGTGAAGCTAATAAAATTACTTCAAGAATTTACTCAAATACAAATCAGTAAAACTGAAGGGTGAAAAAGGATTTCTTTTCCTATTTACCGTATTTTTCAGACCATAAGACGCACTTTTTTCCCCCCAGAAGTGGGGGGGGAAAGTCCCTGCGTCTTATGGTCCAAATATAGCCTACACATATACTTTAAAAAAAAAGTTTTTTTACTTGCCCGGCTCTGTGTGGTCTCTGTGTGCTTGCCCGGCTCTAAAATGGTTCTAAATGCTGCTGTTTACTTTACAGGGTTGATTACATGTGTTTATGACTGTGATGTTGGGTTTTAATGCACATAAAATATTTTAGGACACTCTTTGTTTCAGAATCTTTTTTTCTTCATTTCCCTTCTCTAAAAACTGGTGCGTCTTATGGTCCAAAAAATACGGTAGTAGTGTTTCCATTTTTAGAACCTAGATTGGGGCCTTATTATTTCACCTTGACTGCTGCTTCTTAACTGGTTTTCCTACCTCAAATCTGATTATCGCTAATCAGCCCTATAAACCACTATCATTTTAATTTCCTTGAAACATTCCTTTGACATGACATTCCTTTGTTCAGGCCTCTTAATTCCCCATTATCTATAACACAAAGGAACTTCTAATCTAATCTTGATCAATCTTTCCACCCTACCAATCTCCTGAATCCCTTGACTACATGTCACAATTGACAATCTGAGCTGAAGTACAGGGTGTATCAGAAGTAGGTTTACAGCCAAAACCAGTTTAGCTCAGTGGATAGAGCTTCGGCCTGTCGGCCTGCGGACTGAGGTCCCGGGTTCGATTCCGGTCAAGGGCATGTACATTGGTTGCAGGCACATCCCCAGTAGGGGGTGTGCAAGAGGCAGCTGGTCAAAGTTTCTCATTGATGTTTCTAGCTCTCTATCCCTCTCCCTTCCTCTCTGTAAAAAAATCAATAAAATGTATATATTTTTTAAAGTAGGTTTACATTTGTGAATATGCAAAAAAGTTTATTCTTGTATTATTTATTAACTATTGTATTATTTTCTATACAAACAACTCTAAACCTAATTTTGCTCCACCCTGTATTTTGGGTGGTCCCCTATAACAAAGACTCTGTGCTTTCTCACTATCTTGCCTTTAATCCTCTTGTCTTCTTAAATGGAAGACATGACACCATCTATCATTTTCCCTAAGTGACAGCCATTTCCTCTAACCCAAAACAACTCTTCCCCTCTCTAAGCATACATATTACATTATTTTATATCAGTTATATGTTGTTTTGTAGTTCACCAAATTCTTGGCATCTTTTAGTCAACTTCAAGGGTCAGATGTTTCTTGGTTTTATTACTATTTTTTAGGGTCTACGATTTTATAGTTGTAATTTTGCTGTACCTGAGCAATTTACTTAGATGAGTGTATCTACATCTCAGCATTTGTGCTCTATATTTACCCAGTAGAAAGTAGCTCTCTATGAAAAGTTTTAAAGTTACTTAAAATTTTCTAATATATTTTATTAGAGGCCTGGTGCACGAATTCATGCATTGGTGGGGTCCCTAGGCCTATCCAGCATCTCACTCAGTTCTGATTGGGGCGGGGTAAACTGGTCATGGTAGGGACTGCAGGAGGTTGGTTGTGAGAGTATACTGACCACCAGGGAGCAGCTCCTGCATTGAGTTTGCCCCGCTGGTCGTGAAGGTCACTTAGGCTTTTATATATATGTATATATAGTTAGCTTTCAAAGAGGAAAGTTACATGTTGTAGTTGAATTCATGACTTGGAAGTTTGAAAAAGTTGCTAGGCATTCTCATGAGTGTTTAGAGACTTTTTGTTTGTGTCTTATCTCATCAACTACTACACAAAGTGCTTATTAATATTACAGATTTTTTATTTTAATGAGTAGAAACTTTAAACAGAAACTCTCTGACTGTGTTATCATATTACAGATGGCTTCCTTAGCGGTATCCAACTGGCCTAAGCCTATGCCATTGATTCCATGTCTGTCTTGGTCCACAGCATCTGGTGTCTTCACTACGGTAATTTAATTGTAATTAATATTTAGTTATATATGCTTTTAGGTAATTGTTTTGGGGGCTCTCCACACCACCCCCAGGTTTGTTGATTCACTGGAAAAAATCACAGGACTCAGCATGTACTCATGACTAAGACTCATTAGAGCAAAAGGGTATAGTACAGAATCAGCAAAGGAAAAGATACAGGGGACAAAGTCCAAAGGACACCAGGCACAAGCTTTCAGTGAAGACTCATATTCTGTATTGGATTCCTCCAGCAGTGACAAATTAGCAAAGTTGTGTCCATTAGTGCAATTCACTTGAGCACAGAAGTCCAGGGTTTTTCTCAGGGCTCAGTCATTTAGCTGCCCTCTGTCTGACATGTACCAAAATTTCAGAAGGAAAGCAGGTGTTAAGCAGGAACTGCATTGTTTGTATAAGCAGTTTAGGCACGGAGACCCACTTTATCATTAGGAAGTTTTACATCAGGATAAAGAACTGTTTATTAGTAAAGTTCTCAAAATCTAGTCAAGGGCCAACCTTTATATAAGCAGGCTTTTCTAAAGACAGGAAATCTCAAACCTGCTATGTTAACTCTTCTGCACAGTAATAACAATTTTTGGACAGAATAATTTATGGTGTGACTTGATCTTTAGTTTGTTATTTCAGGGTGTGCTGAGTAAATCAATTAATTGGAGGGAGTTGGAAAAGCAGTATTATGCACAGACAGTTTATGAGGAAGAAATTATTCACATGCTTGAATATTGTGGAGTAAGTATTTTTAATTGCTGTATTATGTTAAAGGGAGGGTTGATTGTGTTTAATGATTCAAATTTTTGAAAAGAATTGCAAATTTTGGGCCCTGGTTGGGAAGTTTAGTTCATTAGAGCATCTCCTCATATGCCAGGATTTCAGGTTTGATCCCCAGTGAGAATCAACCAATGGGGGAAAAAAAGAGTTAACCAATGAAATGCATGAATAAGTGGAACAACAAACCTCTCTCTCTCTCTCTCTCTCTCTCTCTCTCTCTCTCTCTCTCTCTCTCTCTCTCTCTCTCTCTCTGTCTCTCTGTCTCTCCCTTCCTTCTTCTCTCTAAAGCACATGTATCAAACACAAGGCCCGCCGGCCAAATCCGTCCCGCCAGGCCTTGCAATGTGGCCCGCACCGCGCTGTCATCACTGCACTCCGCTGCGTTTCCATCACAATGACAGTTTATGACTGTTCAGTAAACCATTCGGCCCGCAATTTAGGCTGGATTTTAGATTTTGGCCCCTTCTCTGATTGAGTTCGACACCCCTATTCTAAAGTCAATATTTTTTTTAAGTCAATTTTTTAAAAAGAATTGCAAAAATTTTAAGCAATACTAACTTATTTTTTTAATTCTTTAAAAAAATACAGATAAATAAAACAACAGATACAGAAAATCATTCAAAGCAAATATGGTTTAATACATTTATTAAACAGAAACACATTTGTAATAGGTCAAAAATAGAGCTTGACCACCCATCTCAGAATTTTTTAAAAAATATTTATTTTATTGTTTTTTACAGAGAGAAAGGGGTAAGGATAGAGAGTTAGAAACATTGATCAGCTGCCTCCTACACACACCCCCACTGGGGATGTTCCCACAACCAAGGTACATGCCCTTGACATGAATCGAACCTGCGACCTTTCAGTCTGCTGGGACACACTATCTACTGAGCTCAGAATTTAACCACCCAACCCTGGAACACCACCTCTGTGTGTCCTGATCAAAGGCTCTTTTCCCCTACTATCATCTGATTTTTACAGTAACTACTTCCTTCTTTCTTTAAAATAATTTTATTATCCAATTGTACATCTCTAGATATTATAGCTCATTTGTTTATTTTTTAATTATTATTATTATTTTTTGTGTGTGTGTGTGATAAAGAGTGGGTGATGGAGAGCTAGATGAAGAGGGACAAGGGGGAAAGAGATAGATACTATAGTTTTTTATTTTATATTTCTTATAAGTATCTTAATCTATATGTTCCCTTCCATCCCTTTCTTTTTTCCTTAAAATCTTTCTTGCCTATTCAGTGTGGCTCAGTGATTGAGGGTCTACCTACGGACTAAGAGGTCACAGGTTTGATTCTTGGTCAGGGCACAAGCCTAGGTTGCAGGCTCGATTCCCAGTATGGGGCATGCTGGAGGCAACTGATCAATAATTCTCCTAATAGATGTTTCTATCTCTTTCCCTTCCACTTTCTCTCTGAAATCAATAAGAATAGACTTTTAAAAAATAAAAATAAAAAAAAAACTAAGTGTTCAAACTAGTTTCTGAATGAACATAGTTAAGGGTAAGTTAAAAAGCAATTTCTATTTTATTTTCTATGACTATATATGCATATCCTTTGCTCATTTTTTTTTTTTAAATTGTGATTTTGGGCTGTCACTTCACTCTAGCTCTTAAGCAATATACTCTTTGTCATATAGGTTGCAAATATATTTTCTCAGGCTATCATTTTTATCTTTTGATTTTGCTTTTAGTATTTGACAAAGCTTATTTTTATTTAAATGATGTATTTACAACTCTTTAAGCTGAGTTCATACTTCAAAATTTTTCATAGGCAATATTTATTCCTTGATCATTTTTAATTCTTATTAGTTCATCCTGAGAAAGATTTGGAGTGGCTATTGTATTACTGCCAGGATACACTCATTAGACTTTTGGAAGTTTAGTAGATCTGGATTTCCATACTTTGGCAATAAGAGAACGAGACAGACTAAATTACACTTTTTAATTACTTTTCAGTAGGAAACATTTAGCAGTAAAATATAAATCTTAGTCCTAAGTTAAATTTTGACATCTCTTTTCTCTATTTTTAATTGTGGTATAATATACACAACATGAGGTGTACCATTTTACCATTTCTAAATGTATCATTCAATAGTATTAAGTACATTCACATTGTTTTGCCACCATCATCTCCAACAACACTATCCAGTTGTAGAACTTTCAATTTTCCTAAACTGAAGTTCTGAACCTGTTAAACAATAACTCCATTTCCTTTTCCTCTTTTTCCTAGCAAGCACCATTCTACTTTCTCTATGAATGTGATTATTCTAGATTCCTCATAAAAATGTAATCATGCAATATTTGTCTTTTTGTGCCTGTTTATTCATTTAGCATAATGTCTTCAAAGTTCTCCCGTGTTTTAGCATGTGTCAGAAGTTCATTAATGATCCATTGTATGTGTACAACATTTTGTTTTTCCCTTTATTCGTTGATGGACATTTGTGTTTTGTTTGAACAAAGTTAAATAACATCCTATTTTTTATTAAATGATGTTTTCTTTTCTTTTATGTATTCAGACAGATTCTTTCAAAATGGGACAAGAGTTTGTGAAATACTTCCCTAGCAGTGCAGACAAGATCACTAACCTTAATCTGGTTTCTAGAACTTTAAACTTAGATATGACTGACCAGGTTGTGTCCTCGAAACATGATGAGTGCCATAAATCTAGTAAAACATCCTTTAGTGCCACATCAGAAGGACTCTTGTTGAAAGATACTTCTAAGATGGAGTGCTTCAATCAAACACTTTCAACCAACAAAAGTAGTTATACAAGTTGTAATCCTCAGTCATACCACCTACTCAGTAAAGAACAAAGAAGAAAGAACCTTCAGAAAGAATCTTTACTGTTTATGAAAGGAGTCATGGATGAATGTACTCATGTAGCAAATTTCTCAGGTATTTTATATGAAATTGAGAATATTTGATGATGCTTAAATTTGTGAAATATTTTTAAGAATACTTTACAAGTTAACTTTGTATATTCAAGAGTATATTCATTGTTGACCCCAGAATGTGCTTAGCAAGATAAGCAGGTTATTTAAATGTATCATATTTTATCCATGAAAATATAAGACCATCTTCTTTTTTTTTTTTTTTTTTTAATATATTTCATTGATTTTTCACAGAGAGGAAGAGAGACAGAGAGTTAGAAACATCAATGAGAGGGAATCATTGATCAGCTGCCTCTTGCACACCCCCTACTAGGGATGTGCCCGCAACCAAGGTACACATGCCCTTGACCAGAATCAAACCTGGGACCTTTCAGTCCACAGGCTGACGCTCTATCCACTGAGCCAAACCGGTCTCGGCTAGAATAGTTGATTTTTTAACTTATTCAAGGGAGTTCGTTTAATAAATGTTTCACTGACTACACTGTATGATGCATTTTATTTTATAATACAATTTAATAGGCTGTATAAAATCTTAAGAGATTTTGTTGCATTTTTTCAAATCTTGTACCTAGTTCCAGTAGACCCAAGCCTCATTATAGTAGTTCAAGCCAAAGAAGATGCATATATTCCACGAACTGGAGTTCGAAGTTTACAAGAAATTTGGCCTGGTTGTGAAATCCGATATCTAGAAGGGGGTCATATTAGTGCTTATCTTTTCAAACAAGGAATATTCAGGTAAGATGGTTGGTGTAAGCAGGTGTCTGTGGTATTTTTCCCCCCCATAAAATAATGGGTATTTTTATTGCATCTTCTAGGTCCTCTTGTTTCTTCCTTGCTTTCCTCAGTTCTCACACTGTGGTACTCTTTCCGTTCTTGTCCTCTTATTTTCTTTTTCTTTTAGAAAATGAGAAAGTAGCATATGATAGGCATGCTTTTTTTAAAATCTGATTTTACCCTCTTTAGATGCCAATGGCCAGGTATTTTAGAGAATAAGGAGAGACACCAGGGTTTGTAAATCTTGTCTAGGATTTTCCCGCCACACTGGTATCCTTCTCTAAGAATGGCCTGAGTATCTGTGGAATAATCTAGCAATGAATGGTTTTTAGTAGCAAGTAAAAGTTGAACCTTAAAATGAGAAGACAAGTATTGGTTTTAATATTAGTAACGTTTTTGTTTTTAATTGCTTTTGTTGATTTTTCCCCCCCTTTTTAATATATTTTTTGTTGATTTCAGAAAGGAAGGGAGAGAGAAAAACATCCATAATGAGAGAGAATCATTGATCGGCTGCCTCCTGCACGCCCCCCTACTGCAACCCAGGCATGTGCCCTTGACTGGAATCGAACCCAGGACCCTTCAGTCCACAGGCAGACGACGCTCTATCCACTGAGCCAAACCAGCTAGGGTTATTTATTTTTATTGTTATTTTTTTATTATTATTATTATTTTGTAGATAGAGGAAGGGAGAGGGATAGAGAGAAACACCATCAATTGGCTACCTCATACATACCCCCTATTGGGGATCAAGCCCACAACTCAGGCATATACCCTAGTCCAGAAGTGAACCAGTGACCTCTTGGTTTATGAATTAACACTCAACCACTGAGCCACAACGGCCAGGCAATGTTAATAATTTTATGACTCCAGTATTTGTTAGAACTTATAAAAACTTGTGCTCTATAACTCATTTTTTGTTATCCTTCATTATTTCAACTTTCATTCAAATTTATGGTAAAAAGTATCATTGGAATTTATCATTAGTGGTTAAATAAATTAGTTCACATAAAGTGCTTAGGTCAGTGCCCTGTGGATGATAAGTGTTCCAAAACTTCCAGCTATAAAATAGAAAAGTTGAGAGTGGTATATGTTTGATTTTATTTTTTTCTATCACTATTTATCCCTTCTATGCCCTCTTACACCTCCATCCATCCTCCCTGCAATCACCACACTGTTGTCTGTGTCCATGAGGCCTATTTTCCCCCCCTTCTTACTCAGTCCTTCCACCATCCACTCTCTCAATGCTCCCTCCCCCCAGAGCTGTCTGCCTGCTTTCTATGAGTCTGTCTCTATTTTGCTTGGTAGTTCAGTTTATTCATTAAATTCTACATATGCATGAAATTGTATGGTACTTTCTCTGTTTTTGATATTTTAAATTACAATAATATTAATCTAAGAAATACTTTGTATAGTTACTTAATTAGTTCAACTTGTAGATGTCAATCTTTTTTAGGTACAGACTAATTCTTTAAATCTGTAATATACTGAAACATTTTTAAAAATACATATTTTATTGATTTTTTATGGAGAGAATGGGAGATAGTTAGAAACATCGATGAGAGAGAAACATCTATCAGCCGCCTTCTGCACACCCCCCACCGGGGATGTGCCCGCAACCAATGTACATGCCCTTGACCGGAATCGAACCCGGGCCCCTTGAGTCCGCAGACCGATGCTCTATCCACTGAGCAAAACTGGTTTCGGCTCTACTGAAGCATTTAATAAACCTTTTTATTGTATGATTTCTTAAAAAATATATTCAGCATTTGGCATTTGAGTTCCTGTTAGTTGGTAATTGAGTACACTACGTATGCAGTGTGACTTTCTGGCAGAGCAAAAGTAAAACAAAAAAAACAAACAAAAATTGTGAGTATCTAGGGTTGCTCAGGTTGCTCAAGTGGAGTCTAAAGTTCTGTTATATTTGTGAATCAGAGAGTCTGCATGATTGCATTAGTAAATCGGTGTCAAAATTATGTTTGTTTTTTATGTATCTAAATGGGAGTGTGGCTGAGAGGTGTTAGGAAGAAGAATCATAGTCATCTGTGAAAACTCAAAAGTGCTCATTTAAAAGCTTCATTTGAGGAAGAGGTGTTAGCTGTTACCATGTGCCAAGTACTAGAGCAGTTGCTTCATGTTATTAACCCCTTTACACAGAAATGGGGGGAGGGGAGTGAATAAATTGCTTAGGTGGAGTCACTAGCTATTTGTTCTCCCTAAACCCGTGGTCGGTAAACTGCTGCTCTTTGGCTCCTTGAGTGTGACTCTTCCACAAAATACCACGGCCTGGGCGAGTATATTTTGCAGAAGTGGCGTTAAAAGAAGTTTAAGTTTAAAAAATTTGGCTCTCAAAAGAAATTTCAATCGTTTTACTGTTGATATTTGGCTCTGTTGACAAATGAGTTTGCTGACCATTGCCCTAAACCACTCTCATCCCCCCACTCCAACCCCCAGTCATTTCAAAACCTAATAAAGTTTGGATGTCACTGGAGTAGAATCTTAAAAAAATCATTCTTTTCAATTACCAGATATAATACAAGTCACTCCTTTATTTGCTCTATAATGTTATGTTGATATTTAGAATTGATTAATACAAGTGAATAAGAGACTCTTCAAATTATTAAATAGGCATATGCATGCCTTTCTTCCTCATATCATGTACCCAAGCCCAGATTGCAACCTTAGGCATCAGGAAGTAAAAGAGATTCATTTTAGTAGAGCAAGTATGCACAACTAACTCTTGGGAGGAAATTGTCTAGTGGACAAACATGTCAGGGCCTTCTCTCTAACCTACAGTCAATAAAATTTCTGATGTGCTTACACCAACATGCAAATGTTCATCATTAGCTTGTTTCCCTTATTTTTTGTTACATTTTATAAAGGACAAATATCTAAGACCAATACAAATGATAAAAAGCTATGTCTTCCCAACATATTGGAAGTCATAATCTATTAGTAGGCTCCCAGTTTCAAAGATAATCTTATCTTTTTTAAGGGTGTGGAGAAATGCTTTGTCCAAGTAGGATGCAGAATTAATATATTCTCATAGTTATTACTTAAACTGGGTGGAAATACAAATGTATGGATTTTAACAAAACAAGCCTCACCGAACCTGTTTGGCTCAGTGATAGAACATTGGCCCAAAGAGTTGGGTTCAATTCTGGTCAAGGGCACATACCTCAGTTGCAGGCTCCCTCCCCTGCCCAGGTCAGGGTGCATGTGGGAGGCAACCAATCAATGTATCTATCTCATATGGATGTTTCTCTCTGTCCCTTTCCCTTCTACTCTCTCTCTAAAAATCAGTGAAAAAGTATCCTTGGGTGAAGATTGACAAAAAAACAACAAAAACCCACAGGCTCATCAGAAATATATGATAACATTATAGGAGATACTTTTCTATACTTGATCTTAGCCAAAAGGCCGAGAAGCGAAATATAGGAGATACTTTAGAGTGATGGATTATTTTTCCCTTTTGTTTTTGGATTTTCTGAGCATTCTACTCTAAAAATGTTGGCCAGTGTGGTTTCGTGGTTGAGCATCAATCCATGAAACAAGAGGTCACTGGTTCAATTCCTAGTCAGGACACATGCCTGGGTAGTGGGGACTCAATCCCCAGCAGAGGGCATGCAGAAGGCAGCCCTTTGATGTTTATCTCTCATTGATATTTCTATCCCTCTATTCTTCACCCTCTCTCTAAAATCAAGAGGACATTTTTTAAATTCTAGAATAAATAAATAAAAATATAAGCTCTCACAATGTGAAAAAAAAAGTTAAAAATAAGTGTCTTTTAATGGGCAATGAATTTGATTCTTCCTTTCCAATTAAAGTACCTAGTAAAATTAATGTGGCTTTTTATTTTAAGTTCAGTTGCTAGGAACATGTTTTAATAAACAAAAGGTATTTATATAAAATCTATGCAATAGATTTAATACTATATTTTTTTAAGTTATGTAGCCAGTTGATATTCAACAAAAAGTTGCTTCACAGGAAAAAGTGGTGCTGAACGCATCATCAGTTGGAAATACATTTGAAGTTTCCCAGTAGTGGTGAAGTTAATGGATCCTAACACCCGCCTTTCAGGTACTTGCCTTTTTGACAGTTCTTTAAAGAGGAGGTCAGGTTGCAAGCCAAAGGTAATTTTGGAAATAAAGTAAAAGCAATGTATGTTCCCCCTTTTTGCTAATTACTTGTAGTTTTTCATTTTTTATTTTAGACAAGCCATCTATGATGCATTTGAACGCTTTCTGCACAAATATGCTAACTGATTGGATCACTGTATGTAACCAGTGTGGCCATCACGCTTCTCACAAAAGAAGTTTCATCCTTTAACAATGTGAAATCAGTAAGACATCACTATATATCTCATTGCTACCTATTTAGTCTGGAATTCAGTGTTACAGGTCAGTCTTTGAATGCATTTGAATAACTTTTAATCAATATTTGGGTGAAATGATGTTGAAGTATTTTGTTATTGCTTGTGGGACTCCCATATATTCAATATTTCTACTTATGAAAACTTTACATTTTTAATTATGAATAGTTTATTAAATTAAAATTAATGTATTCACAGAAACTGTATTGGTTTATACAGAGCTGCTGAGTCAAAATTTGTAATACGTAAGCTTTTATTGCATACCTTTATATGATATTTCTACTACTGACTTGCTTTGAGGAACATGTTTATTTCTTTTGTGGATCCATAGTACATTTATAATCTTATTTTCCTCTTTAATTTTCTGCCATGGAAATACTTATGATGTATGAAATCCCTGTTAACTTTGAATTCTAAAATATCCTGATTCTTTTGTATGTAAGTGCTTTTAATAATTAAAATGAATGTAGGAGTGCAGACATGCTGCAAAAGACTTGACTAACCTTTATAAATACCTAATATTGGGTTAGAGGGGAAAAAGCCAAATGTATTTCTGCTACTTAACAACTTTCAATTCATGAACAATGGAAATAACTATTGCATTAATTGAGACATTGTGTCTTAACTTTTTCTTACATGTGCATCTTACTTTGGGTTTGTAAATCGTGATATATATAACTTCACTTTTCAAGCCAAGAATGTAATCATTTGACCTTTTAATTTCAAAAATTAATGTCCATAAAAATTAATCAACCCATCCTAAATAAACTTTACAGAAAATATATAAATAATAACTTTTTTTAATTGAAAAATTACATGGCTAGATTTGGTGCTCTCTTTTTATAAACCTCTCAAGCTGAGAGCTAAAATACTCTCAAAAGTAGAAAATATTTTTGGGCATTGTTTATTTATTTGAAATCTGTATTATCTACAGATTGTATTTAAATATGTATTCCTAGTCTAGTAAGGATATTTGAATTATAATGTGCCTTTGTAGCCTTTTCAAAGGAAATTTTGTCACTCTAATGCCTCCATCATTTTAATTTTAAAAATCTTTTAAAATTACTAAAGTCATTGATGGCATAGTAGTAAATATTTCTTACTAAGCAATAATGTACTATGTTGTGTGACTTTCTATTGGTAAAAGAATAAAATTTTAATATTTCATTTAAACCCTTGGGCATAACTAATTTTTCCCAAATAAATGAGAAGAGAGGTATTTTAAAGATTTCATCTCCTAACCAGATGTTTTAAGAATGTATCTCTGGGGGAGCACTGGAGATCTTATTTCCCAGGATTTCATCCATTGGCTCAAATAAGCAAATTCTTAAAAAAAGAAGAAGAAAAAAACGAATATATAATAGCAGTTACCTAAACTGATTAATTATTCAAAGTCAAAATACTTTTTCTTACAGTTTTTATCTACTCCCCCCAAATATATATATGCATATATAAGTACATACACACCCACACACACAAAGCAGTGCTGTCTGCCATTTTGAGCATTGCTACATAAACTGCTAGAAATTCATTTAGGCCGAGTTGCAAATGGGTAGTTAATACCCACTAGCTTAGCCCAAAGTTGCTTTATCCAGTATGTATAATATTTCAAAATTTGAAATGTGTTCTGATTGGCATGCATTCCAGTTTGCCACAGTCTACTGGACTCCCTCATTTTAGACCATGTCACTACTTTGTGTTTCCTACTTAGCTCTAAAGACATCTGAGTTTGAGACTCCTGATTTAGATGTGTGGTTAGAAAATTTTTCTGAATTTCATGATTTCCTAATGATCTAATTACTATTAATTAATTTTATGCATTTTAAATTATTTCTTATGAAGGTAATTTTTAATGTGGTGCTTTATCTTGTAAAAAATATTGAATTGTTAACATTGTAACTGAAGTTTTTAAAATAATTTCTAAATATTTTATACTTCACAATAAAAGCTTATTTAAAAAAGTGATTTATCTTCAAGAGTATAATTTTAAATATAAAAAACAAATATGTCACATATCTTTAATGTATCCAAATTTGAAGTATGTATTCCTTAGTTATATTATGACCCAAATAAAGTAAGGCATAAATAAGCTAAGGAGGGGCCCTGCCCAGATAGCTCAGAGAATCATCCCACTATGCCAGGGTTACAGGTTCAATCCTGATCAGGGCACATTGCATAAATAAGTGGAACAACAAATAGATTGTCTCTTTCACTTTCTCACTTACTCTTTAAAATCAATAAATGGCCCAAGCCAATTTGGCTCAGTGGGTAGGTAGAGTGTTGACCTATGGCCTGAAGGGTCCCAGGTTCAATTCTAGTCAAAGGCATATGCTCAGGTTGTGGGCTCAATCCCCAGTAGGGGGTGTGCAGGAGGTAGACAATCAGTGATTCTTATCATTGATATTTCTATCTCTTGCTCTCTCTCTGAAATCAATGAAAATATATTAATAAATAAATAAACTACACTTTCAAAAAATAAATAGGTACATCTACACAATGGAATACCACACTGCTATAAAAAAGAACTCTTACTATTTGAAATAGCAGGATGGACCTGAAGAGCATTATGTTAAGTATTCACATGATCTCACTCATTTGTGGAATATAGATGGACAAACCTCAAGGGGGTAGGGGGGACCAAGAGGGGATAAGAGATCAACCAAAGGACTTATATGCATGCATATACAAGGTGTACCTGTTAATCAGGTTTATTTCAATAGATGGTGTTACACATATATTGATATATATGCTATTTGATATGTATGCTATTTTGTATTTACAAGCTTCAAAACTTCATGTCAAATTTACTGAAGGTGTTAACATCATAGATATTTTTATACTTAAAGATGTCGAATTTCGTGCTAAAAAAAGTATTTGTGGGAAGTTATAATTCATTATTTTGAAGAAAAGTGCTGCTGAATACTTTGGGAAGCTTATGGTGAAAATGCTTCATCTCAAGATACTGTGAACACTGGTTTAAATGCTTTCAAAGTGATGATTTCTTTTATATATATATATATATATATATATATATATATATATATATATATATATATATATTTTATTGATTTTTTAAGAGAGTAGGGAGAGGGATAGAGAGTCAGAAACATCAATGAGAGAGAAACATCGACCAGCCGCCTCCTGCACACCCCCCACTGGGGATGTGCCCATGCCCCTAACCGGAATCGAACCCGGGACCCCTCAGTCCACAGGCCGACGCTCTATCCACTGAGCCAAACCGGTTTCAGCAAAGTGATGATTTCTACGTAAAGGCAAAGAACATCCAGGTCAACCGAAAAAGTTTGAAGACAAATAATTACAAGCATTATTGGTTGAAGATGCCTGCCAAACTTAAAAACAACTTGCAGAAAGATTAAACATTACTCAGCAAACAATTTCCAATCATTTACAAGCAGTGGGAAAGATTTTAAAGGAAGGAAAATGGGTGCCACATCAACGGAATGAAAGACAAATGGAAAACCAAAAAGTCATCAGTAAAATGTTGCTTCAAAGGCATGAAAGAAAGTTTTCTGCATCGAATTGTGACTGGCAATGAAAAGTGAATTTATTTTGAGAATCCCAAACGCACAAAAGCATGGGTTGATCCAGGACTACCATCAACATCAACTGCAAGGCCAAATCTCTTCGGAGAGAAGACAATGCTCTGCATTTGGTGGAATCTGGAAGGTGTGGTGTTATGAGCTTCTAAAATCAGGTGAAACCCTTAATACTGATCACTACTGATGACAAATAATCAATTTGAACCATGCTTTGATCATGAAACGACCAGAATGAGCCAGAAGACATGGCAAAGTAATTTTGTTTCATGATGAAGCAACATCACACACTTAAAATGTTAAAGATATGTTTAAAAGATCTTGCCTGGAAAGTATCAATATTAACCCACCTGCTGTATTCACCAGACTTTGTTCCTTAAGATTACCACTTTTCTGATCTATGGCACACTCACTTTCTGAGCTGCACTTAAAAACATACGAAGTGGAAAATTGGGTCTCTGAATGGTTTGCCTTAAAACAAGAAAAGTTCTATGTGGACGGTATTCACAAATTACCTTAAATATGGGGAAATGTGTAGCTAGTGATGGACATTACTTTGAATAAAGCACTTATGATGTTTCTCTTGGAATTATCCTGTTTTCTTTGATTACAAAACCTGTATAATTTTTTAAAATATATTTTATTGTTTTTTTTACAGGGAGGAAGAGAGAGAGAATCAGAAACATCGATGAGAGAGAAACATAGATCAGCTTCCTCCTGCATGCCCCCCCCACTGGGGATGTGCGGCAACCAAGGTATGTGCCCTTGACTGGAATCGAACCTAGGACCTTTCAGTCTGCAGGCTGACACTCTATCCACTGAGCCAAATCGGTTTCGGCTAAAATCCACATTATTAACTGGTACACTTAGTAAGCATAACCAATGGACACAGACAGTAGAGGGGTGAAAGTAGCTGGGGGCGGGAGCAGGTAGGGGTGGGAGGTGGGAGGGTGGTGAAGGAGACAAATGTCCTTAAATTCTTTCAACAGTAAAGAATTTAAATAAAAAAATAAAAAATTAGCCCTAACTGGTTTGGCTTAGTGGATAGAGTGTCAACCTGCGGACTGAAGGGTCCCACCAGTCAAGGGCATGTACCTTGGTTGCGAGCACATCCCAAGTAGGGGTTTATGCAGAAGGCAGATGATTGATGTTTCTCTCTCATCTGTATTTCTAACTCTATTCCTCTCTGTAAAAAATCAATTAAAAATATTTTTTTAAAAATTAAAAATAAAAATAAAAAATTAGCCCTGTTCCATTTGGCTTAGTGGATGGAGCATCTGCCTGCGGACCAAGGGGTCTCCGTTAGATTCTGGGTGGGGCACATGCCTGAGTTGCGGGCTCGGTCCAACATGCAGGAGGCAGCCAGTCAGTGGTTCCTTCTCATCATTGATGTTTCTGTCTCTTCCTCCTCACTGAAATCAATAAAAATATATTTTTAAAATATAATTTATTTTTTTATTTTTATTTTTTTAAATTTTTTATTTTAAAAAAATACATTTTATTGATTTTGTACAGAGAGGAAGGGAGAGAGATAGAGAGTTAGAAACATCGATGAGAGTCATCGATCAGCTGCCTCTTGCACACCCCCTACTGGGGATATGCCTGCAACCAAGGTACATGCCCTTGACCGGAATCGAACCCGGGACCCTTCAGTCCCCAAGCCGACGCTCTATCCATTGAGTCAAACCGGTCTCAGCGTATTTTTAACATATAATTTAAATAAATAAATAAAAATAATCTAGGGAAGCCCTAATCTACACGAGCCAAAATGTCCCTCTATTTGATCCCACGGAAACCAGCATTCTGACAAACCATGGCTGAATGTTGTATAGCTCAGTATTGGATATGATTACATTTATACTAGTAAATGTACTGCAAACAATTAAAATTTAGAAATTAAAAAACTAAACTTCTAATTAGAAAACTATAGATGGGGAATGAGGGTCCTGGGGAGAGGTTGCTATAGAAGCTGGCTTTGGATATAAAAGGAAAGATTATGGCAGGTGAGACATAGGGAAAAGTTTGTTTTGCAGGAATAGGTAACCTAATTCTAGGAATAGTCATATAGACAGAATCCTAGGAAACAAATGATTGTATGAAGAATTTTGAGACAGTTTTAATTATAACATGTTGGACCAAAAGAATCCGAAATAATTTTCTCAGGACCTAAAGAGCTAATGTGCGGATTTACCAGATTTTGTTAGTCAAAGAAAATGTACTAGTAAACAACCGGAGAAGTTGAATCTGTGACTACCTAAAGCAGTGATCAACAAACTGTGGCTCACGAGCCACATGCTGCTCTTTGGCCCCTTAAGTGTGGCTCTTCCACAAAATACCACGTGTAGGAGCGCACGTACCATGTGATTGAAACTTCATGGCCCACGCCCAGAAGTCGGTTTTCGGCTCTCAAAAGAAATTTCAATTGTTGTACTGTTGATATTTGTCTCTGTTGACTAATGAGTTTGCCGACCACTGACCTAAAGTAAAACAGTTTTTCTACATACAGGATCTGGGTAATTCCACAAACAAAGAGGTGTATGTACCCTAGCACAGCGTTTTTCAACCGCTGTTCCGGATGTTGCCTGGTGTGCCGTAGGTGCAGACAAGACAAGAATTTTATAATTTTTCACTATTTTGTTTGCTTAATATTTCATAATAAATTATAAAATACTTTCTTTGTGTTTATTTGATTCCTATTCAAGAGAATTACTTTATATATAGTCAATATAGGCACAGAGTTAAATTTTTTAACATTTTCTAATGGTGGTGTGCCTCGTGATTTTTTTCATGAAACAAGTGTGCCTTTGCCCAAAAAAGGTTGAAAAACACTGCCCTAGCACTTTGCTGCTCAAAGTGTGGTCAGTCCATTGATAGTATTATGGTAATATTTAACCGTTTTTCAAAATACCCTACAAATAAGTTCAAAGAAGCATAATTTTTTCACTTCTACT